CACAGACTGAACTCCAGACTCCTGCATGACAGCAGACAGGCGTAGGTAGGGCATGGGCACCCTGGAGGCAGTGGTGGCTCACACTGCACGAGATCTCACCGCATGCAGGTACACAGCTTCAGCCCTGGGGGTGCTTGTTCCTGGACTGGGGCTGCCTGCGGGGCCTATGAAACCGTAGACCAGGATGGGCAGCAGCCGCCTGTGGTCTGCAGTGCTGGGCTCGGGCAGGGCCTCGCTTGCCTTGCTCCAATGGGTGGTCTTGCACCAGAGGATCAGGTTCTTCGCTGCCAGCAACAGTTCCCAGAGGCCGAGATGTGCCTGCAACAGCATAACATCCACTGTCTCCCATCTGTTTTAAACTACCCTCCTCAGACAGCTTCGCCCCATCTCTAAATCCAACTGCACCCCACTTGGTGTGCCACGGGAGCCCCATCCATTTATCACAGTGAAGGGCGACGACGTCACCGTAATCGGGTTGCACAGTTCTGCCTCCACCAGCTGCCGCAGGGCCACGTCCTTGGGTCCGTCACCTTACGCCACAGTGCCTGCCTCCGTGATTGGCACAGGGTGACGTTCAAGGAGACTCCTGCAGCTGACTCCCTCAAGCTGCCAGCTTCCTTACCTTTAAATCAGCATCACTGTCTAGGCACAAGGTGCCTGGCTTACAGCACGTGGTCAGCACTGAGCTAAGCTATCTTGGGATGCCCACACTGTGTATCACAGTGCCAGGTCCAGTCCTAGCTGTTCTGCTTCCTGCTTGTGTATCTGGAAGGCAGCAGATGATGGCTCATGTTCTTGGGCGCCTTGCTATGCACATGGAAAGCCTAGAGGGAGGTCCTAGCACCTGATCTCACCCGGCCCACCGTTACCTATTGTGAATATTTGGAAGTTGGAAGATCTCTCTCCTCGTCCCCATCTCTTGCTGTAACCCTCAGGTAGATGAAAACAATTACACGTTTTCAAAAATAGAAGTTATTCATGTTGTACATTCAGAGGCAGGGGAGGACTGAGGGCTCTTGGAGGCAGGGACTGGATGATGGCTCATGCTGAACAGTGTTGTAGGACAGCAAGGGCGAGCAGGAGGCACCAGCTTGAGCAGAGGTGTGGAGGAGGAGCAGGGAGAGTGCCCAGGGGCCAGGAAGCCCCTGGCTGGTGGAGAGCAGGGTCTGCCTCTAGCATCAGGGTTAGGACATGGGTGAGAAGCCCACGTCAGCATGCCTGGCCTCCACACCAGGCTTGGGCATCAGACTTCAGCCTCCTGCTAGTGTTTTTTTTTTAAAGATTTATTTTTATTATTTTTTATTGGAAAGGCGGATATACAAAGAGGAGAGACAGAGAGGAAGATCTTCCATCCGATGATTCACTCCCCAAGTGAGCGCAATGGCCGATGCTATGCCAATCCGAAGCCAGGAGCCTCTTCCGGGTCTCCCATGCGGGTGCAGGTTCCCAAAGCTTTGGGCCGTCCTCAACTGCTTTCCCGGGCGACAGGCAGGGAGCTGGAAGGGAAGCGGGGCTGCCGGGATAGAACCGGCGCCCATATGGGATCCTGGGCGTGCAAGGTGAGGACCTTAACCACTTGCGCCACCGCGCCGGGCCCCCTCCTGCTAGTGTTTTAAAGGGTCCACCCTACTCACCAACTCAGTCCCAGCCATTAGGGTGGATGGGAGATCTCTCTCTGTCTCTCCAATAAAATTAATTACTAGAAAGATAGATGGGGCCAAATTGCAGATAGCCTTGAATTTCAAGCCAATATGCTTAAACTTGGTTTTTCTATAATATTTAGAGCCAATGAATGCTTTTGAGCAAAGGAGGTAACAGAAGTAATGTTGTAAAGGGTTAATTATGGGGGCCAGCGTAATGGCTCACAGGCTAATCCTCCACCTTAAAGCACCAGTTTCCCTTATAGGCACCAGTTCATGTCCTGGCTGCCCCACTTCCCATCCAGCTTCTTGCTTATGGATTGGGAAAGTAACAGAGGATGGCTCAAAGCCTTGGGACCCTGTGCCATGTGGGAGACCTGGAAGAAGCTCCTGGCTCATGTCTCTAGATGGGCCCAGCTCCAGCCACTTGGGGAGTGAACTAGCAGATGGAAGATTTTTCTCTCTGTATTTTCTTCTCTCCATAAATCTGCCTTTACAATAAAAATAAATAAATCTTTAAAAAAGAAAAGAAAGGGGCCTGGCACGGTGGCCTAACGACTAAAGCCCTTGCCTTAAACATGCCAGAATCCCATATGGGCGCTGGTTCTAATCCTGGCAGCCCCACTTCCCATCCAGCTCCCTGCTTGTGGCCTGGGAAAGCAGTCGAGGATGGTCCAAAGCCTTGGGACCCTGCACCCACATGGGAGACCTGGAAGAGGCTCCTGGCTCCTGGCTTTGGATTGGCTCAGCTCTAGCTGTGGTGGCATCTTGGGGAGTGAACCATCAGATGCAAGATCTTCCTCTCTGTCTCCTTCTCTCTGTATATCTGACTTTCCAACAAAATAAATAAATAAATAAGTAAATCTTTTTTAAAAAAAGAAAAAAAAAAGGTTGATTATGGCAAATTTGTATCAGGCAGACCAAGGAAGTAAAGAGAGGTGCAGTCTGGCTGCTGAATCAGGCATCTGGCCAGTGGTGTAGGATGCTGTTTGGGACTCCCTAATTGCAGTGCTGGGTCTGGATCCCGGCAACTCTGCTTCTGATTACCTTCCTGCTAACGCCCACCCCGAGAAGCAGCAGGTGGCAGCTCCAGCGCTTGGTTCTCTGCCACTGCCACGGGAAGCCTGATGGAGTTGCAGGCTCTGGACTTCAGCCTGGCCCAGCTCTGGGGCTGTTACAGGAGTTTGGGAAATGAGGCAGACAGAGATCTTTGTCTCTGTCCTCCCACTGTAAAAACATTTTTTAAATAATAAAAATATGACTGCTTCCTTCAACTTTCATTTCCGTGATCCAGCATCTCTACAAAATGAGCCAGGAGGGGCCATGTGAGGGCTCAACTGACTAATTCTTCAGCTATTGGCATCTTGCATGGGTGCCAGTTCATGTCCCAGCTGCTCCACTTCCCATCCAGTTCCCTGCTTGTGACCTGGGAAAGCAGTAGAGGATGGGCCAAAGCCTTGGGGCCTTGTACCCACATGGGAGACCCAGAAGACCCTCCTGATTCTTGGCTTCAGATTGGCTCAGTTCCAGCTGTTGTGGCTACTTGGAGAGTGAAGCAGTGGATGAAAGCTTTTTTTCTTTCCTTCTCTCCATAAATCTGCCTTTCCAATAAAAATGGATCAATATTTTTTTTAAAGATTTATTTTTATTATTTTTTCATTGGAAAGGTGGATATACAGAGAGGAGAGAGAGAGAGGCAGAGAGGAAGATCTTCCATCCGATGATTCACTCCCCAAGTGAGCGCAACGGGCCGATACTATGCCGATCCGAAGCCAGGAGCCTCTTACGGGTCTCCCACATGGGTGCAGGGTCCCAAAGCTTTGGGCCGTCCTCCACTGCTTTCCCAGGCCACAGGCAGGGAGCTGGAAGGGAAGCGGGGCTGCCGGGATTAGAACCGGCGCCCATATGGGATCCCGGGCATGCAAGGCGAGGACCTTTAACCACTTGTGCCACCGCACCGGGCCCTGGATCAATATTTTTTAATAAATAAATCTTTTTTAAAATAAACCAAGAGATGAGAAGCAAGCACTCTGACAGGAGATAGATTCAGGTTAAGCTTGGACCCAGCAACTGTGCCCCACTTGCCACGGAGCAGGTCGCATCCATTCCCAGGGCCTGAACATCACCTCCTACAAAACGGAGCTGACAGCATCTCTGCCCAGCCTGCCCCACTGGACTCCCAAGACCAAGAACGCATTCACCCAAAAACGGAGCCCCAACCAACAGTCTGGTCCTCTCCGCTGGGCAGACAGAGGCATGGCAGCAGGGGACGCAGGGTGACACTTCACTGAGTGCTTACTGTGTGTGCACAGTCTGTAGGACACCACCGACCTCACACTCAAACCTGCTCCTAAACAGAGAGGCTGCGCAAGCTACCAAGGGCATTCATCTCCCCAGACCCACCCCAAGCCTTTTCCTGGGAGCTAATCATCTCTCTCCCTACTCTGCTCCTCCCCTGAGGGTTCTACTCAGCTTAAAAGCCAACTTCCAGAAGCTCCCAGGACCCCTGATTGGGCACCTGCTCCTGGTGACATCAACCGCCAGACATGATCTCACTGGTCTCCAAGCCCATGCCAAAACCTGCAGGACCCCTTATCCAGCAAACCACCCCCCCCCCTTGGAACAGGGCTATTTTTTCTTTTTTCAGTTTATTTTATTTTTACTAGAAAGGTAGATATACTGAGAGAAGGAGAGACAGAAAGATCCTCTATCTGCTCTTTCATTCCTCAAGTGACTACAACTGCCAGAGCTGAGTCGATCCCAAACCAGGAGCCAGGAGCCTCCTCTGGGTCTCCCACGCAGGTGCAGGGTCCCAGGGTTTTGGACCATCCTCGACTGCTTTCCCAGGCCACAAGCAGGGAGCTGGATGGGAAGTGGAACAGCCGAGATATGAACCGGAGCCCGTATGGGATACCGGAGTCCATATGGAATGCCGGCACAGGCAGGACAAGGATTTAGCCACTAAGCCATCATGCAGGACCCACAGGCCTATTTGTTTATGAATTACTTGCACATAACATCTTTCAGTCACAGACTCAACACCAAGGTAGTGGAAACTAGAATTTAAAAATACCTGCATTTTGGCCCAAGAAAATTTGAACTTCATGCATGTTCATTCGTGAACTTTTTCCATCAACTCAACTCCCCTCCCACGGCCGACAACCTCTTTTCTCCCCTTGCCTCTGTGACAGCAGAAGGCCCCTTCGTGCGGCCCTAGGTTGGCCCCGGCTTGAGGGGGGCGGCGGCAGCCCCGCAGGCGGCCAGGACGGGGTGAGGCGGGGCAGCCAGCGTTGAGCCGGGATTAGCTGGGGCGCTGGCCAGACCGATGGCCATAGCCGCGGTGCCCCAGGCGACGGCACGATGCCGCTGCACGACGACGCCCTCCGGGAGGTGTGGGCTTCGGACAGGTGGGACCCCCACTCTCCAGCCTTCCTTCCCCGCCACCCGCCCCCGGACCCCAGGAATAACCCAGGGCGCGGGGTTGGAAGGACGAGCGGGGAGAGAGGCAGGTCACTTCTTCTCCACTCTTAGTGGGCACGAGGAGGAAGGTCCCAGTCCGGAGGCTGAGCGGCGCCCCAAGCAGGTTTGTCACTCCCTTGGGAGAGGCAGAACGAGGTCCCCCCCCTACGCCCCTCAATCCCTCAGGACGCCGGGGAAGGGGAGGGATGCTGGGTGAGGGCGCACGCGCCAGGAGTCCGGCAATTGTGTGACTCGAGGTGTTTTTTTTTTTTTTTTTCCCGGGTGGGTGGCGGGCATGGAGGAGGCGATGTTTACAGGCATGAGGCTCCGTGGAAGGAATCGGGGCTCTGGGGCCAGGAGGACAACCGAGGAATGGGAGTCCTGTTAGTGCAAAGGAAGAGGGGGCTGTAGGCGCCCTCCGGATAAGCTGCGGTTATTTCTGGCGGCTCAAGGGATTAGAGGGTGGCGGGCAGCCCTCGGAGCCCCCCTTTCCTCCTTGACCGCCATCCTGCAGCGACCCGCAGCTGGGCAGAAGCTGAAGAAGAAGAGGAGCGAGGCTCCTAGATCCCCCGGCGCCCAGGGACCCAAGCCTCGGAGAGCTGGAGGTGGGCGGGGAGGTGGTAGGAACGCGAAGGAGAGAGGGGTGGGGGGGCACAGGGTATGGGACCCCCGGGAGAATCCGAGCACCCCTGGGGGGCAGAGGGAGGAACCGAGCGAGCGCTGCATCCTGGGCTGTCTCCACCACCCTCACACCGACCCCGGGGGCCCCACCTGAACCCCCTCCTCCATGCACGCATCGACTCAGCGGGGCGGAGTGGGCGTCTGCGGGAGGAACCTGCTCCCGACCCCGCGCAGCCCGGTGGGCCCCAGCGGAGCATCTACACTAAATTCCTCCGAGACCCCGAGGCCAAGAAGCGGGACCCCCGGGAAACCTTCCTGGTAGCCCGGGCTCCAGGTGCCAAAGACGGTGAGAGGCTGAGAGGGGGGCTGGCAAGCCACCCAGAGAGGCATTGGAGCAGGGGCAATGCGAAGGACCAAGTTTAGGAACTTGGTGGAGTCGCTTGGCGCCTTCTCCATTTTACAGATGGGGAAGCTGAAGCATGGAAAGTTAGAGGTGGGCAGGAGAAGCCAAGTGGGTGCAGTGAGATGGGGCAGGTGGCAGGTGGAGGGGTTCCTCCCCAGGGTGCCAGCAAGGTGCCAGTGCTCCCTGTCTTGCCCCAGGTACTCCCACTTCCCAACAATCTGGAGGGACTGGGCTTCCTGAAAAGGAGGGTGGCCACCCAAGCCCTGTCCCCCATTATGAAGGGTTTCTATCTACAGCAGAGAAGGAGGAGGAGCAGGAGGAAGAGGAGAAGGAAGAAGATGACAACGGGAATGCTGATGAGGAGCAACCTCCCAAGAGGCCCCCCAGGGAGAAGACTTCTGCGGCACCCAAGGAGAGGAAGGCTAAGGCCCAGGGTAGCCGCACTGGGTGTGGGGTGCACAGCGGGGACCCCCTGGCAGCCAGCACAGCCCCTGTCCTTGCTAGTGCACAGGCAGGGACCCCCTGAGGTCACCCAGGGCTAGGAGCAAGGAAATATTTTCATTCTGAAATATGGAGAGACAGAGACAAAGAGATGAGGAGACACCTTCCACCCACTGCCTCAAATGCCAGCAGCAATCCGGACTGGGCCGGGTCACAGCAGTAACCTAGACCTGCATCCGGGTTTTTCCTAGAGCTGGCAGGAACCCAAGGACTTGGGCCACCGTCTGACACCCTCCCCAAAGCCAGCTTAGCACCCCCAGGTACCCCCAGTCACTCTGCTTGGAGTCTACACGAGCCCCCGGGGAACCTGGGCCTAGGGTGGAGGGGAGAGTGCCATCTCCACAGCAGGTCCTTGTGTGGGGGACAGGAGGCAGAGAAAGCCTGGTGTCTGTTCATTCTCCTTCACCCATTGGGTAGCAGCTGGTTCAGCTCCTGGCTGGTCCAGAGCCTTGATGAGGCCCTAGGTGACCCCGGGAATCAGAGGATGAGCCACCATAGGTTCCTTCTTGGTCCTGCCCCACCCCGTCCTCCCTGTCCAGGAGACACAAAAAGCCCTGAGCTGGTGACCAAAAAGAAACCTCTTCGTGCTAAGAAGAAGGAAGCCTCAGCCGGGGAGGGGACGAAAATGAGAAAGACCAAGAAGAAAGGTGAGCTGGACCTGAGGGAAGCAGGACCTTGGGGATGCCGGGGAAGGGGAGAAAGTGGCCTGTCACTCCTACATCTGCAGGGTCCGGGGAGGCTGACAAGGACCCCCCAGCCAGCCCGGCAGCCATGAAGAAGAGCCCTGCGGCCTTGTTTCTGGTCGGAGAGAGTGGCTCCACTGAGAGAGCTGGAAAGAAGAAAGGTGGGTGCTGGGGTGCCTCTAGGGGAAACTCCCGGGCTGCCTGGGTCTCACATAGGTAGGTAGATGTGTGACCACGCCCCCCAGCGTGGGTGTAGGTGACCTGTCATGGGCATGCAGAAGGACCACAGCCCTGGTTCTCCCTCCATGCCCAGATATGCCCAAGAGCCCGGAAGAGGAGGAGGAGGAAGACAGTGAGGACGAGGAGGCTGCGGCTGTGGCAACCAAGAACAGCAATCAGAAGGGTAGAGCCAAAGGAAAAGGCAAAAAGGTGAGGGCTGTGGGGGGTGAGGGCCGTGGGACCAGGGCCTGAGTGCCCCGGGGGCTGGCGGAGGGGCCCGAGGCCCTGGGAGTGGGACTGGCCTCTGTGACAGGCTGTGAGGACAAACCACCAGCCTCGGGAGATCAGGAGAGGCGTTTGTGGGGTCACCAGCTAGAGCTGGCCACCTCGGTAGGTGTCTGAGGACTCCCCTGTGTGGGTAATCACCAGACACAGACACAGATGCCCCTGTCACCCCATGACACACACACCCAAAGAGGTCCCTACCAACGCACGGAAAGTGGAGCATGCAGACCAAGGCACCTTTAGGCACGTTGTGCTACTGTCCTGAGCTTCCCACTCAAACCCTCCGCCCCCACCCAGCAACCAAGGGGTTCAGCTCTGGCTGTCGGAACCCTCCTGGCTCTACCTGGAGCCCACTGGGCATCCCCTAAGTTTCGGAAGAGGTTGTTGGATCTTGGAAATTTGTGGGCCCTGCCCATAGGAGCAGGGGCGAGCAGGAGAGAGAGGCTACCACGGGGCAGGACTAGGGTCTCCACTCTAGGGGTTGGCTGGTCTGTACAGGAGCAGGACTGACTCACATTAACTGAGTTCACCGGGTGCTAATGTATGTGCAAACGGAAAGTCCATTTGATAATCCCCCACCCCAGGGAGGAGATGGAGGGGCTTGTAGCTGCAGGGCCGCCTGCAGACCCACAGGCCTTGAGCTGCCCAGCTGCCGCAGCTTTGGGATCAGTTCTAGCTTTCCTCAGGTCACATTCCAAGCATAGCTGTGTGTTTCCCAAGTTTCTTCTGGAGCAGCCTGGGCTGGAGAAGAGATGGTCTCGCCTGCCCCCAGGGCCAAGAGCCCTGCTGTCCACACCGGCCTCCCCTCTCTCACGCGCACCCCAGGGCTGCCCGTGGTTCATAAATAGCATCTGACTTTGAAAGGCCAGGCCCGGGCTGCAGGGCATGCTGGCCCCTGTGGGGAGAGCTGGGCTGAGAGCCCAAGGGGCGTTACCAGGGCGGCCAGTGGTGTTACTGAGCTGTCTGTAAAAGCAAAAGGAAGAGTACTTATTCATTCATGTACTCGCTATGCCTGGCCATATAACAAAGCACCCCCAAGCTTAGGGTCTGTCCACAGCAAACAGTTCATCTCTGCACCTTTTTTTTTTCTTTTGAGATTTATGTTTATTTGAACAGCAGAGTTACCAGAGAGAGGGAGAAACAGAATCTTCCATCTGCTGGTTCACACCCCAAACAGCCTCAACAGTCAGGGCTGAGCAGGATCGGATGTGGGATGCCAGCCCAGCATCACAGGCTGCAGCTTACCCTCTCTGCTACCACTCCAGCCCCCACTTGGGCCTCTGGGAGCAGCTGAGCAGGGTAGTTCTGGCTCGAGTTGTTCACGTGAGGTCAGCAAGGCTGCTGTTGTCATCTTGGGAATGACTGGAAATGGAGGGACTGTCTCACCGCCCCAGCTGTTGGCTGCAGGTCTCGGTTCCTTCCCACCATTGGGCATGGCAGCCAATGGCTTCGGGACCTGGAACACAGAGCCAGGCAGAAGCTGCACCCATTATGATGCAGCCTTGAAGTGCCAGGCCTGATATGGTATGAAAAGGGACCTCACCAGAGCCCACAGACTGGGATTGGGTGGAGAAACCTCCAGAAGCAGAAATGATCAGGGAAAGCTGGCCCCCACAGTCCTTGGGTGTTTGCTGCATGCTAAGATTCAGAGTCATGCCGGTTCTGTGGTATAGCTCGTTAAGTCTCTACCTGTGATGTTGGTATCCCATACAGGTGTTGGTTCCAGTTCCCATGAAGCTCCTTGTTAATGCTCCTGGGAAAGCAGGGTTGAAGTAAGAAACCCTGAAGAAGCTCCTGTCTCCTGGCTTAAGGCTGGCCCAGCTCCTGTTATTGCAGCTTTTGGGGGAAATGAACCAGTGCTGTGGCATATCAGGCTAATCCTCTGCCTACAATGCCAGCATCCCCTATGGGCACCAGTTCATATCCTGGCTGCTCTACTTCCAGTCCAGTTCCCCGGGTGATTGCATAGGAAAGCAGTGGAGGATGACTCAAGGCCTTGGGCCCCTGCACCCACATGGGAGACTCGGAAGGAGCTCTTGGCTCCTGGCTTCAGAATAGCCCAACTCTGGCTGTTGTGGCCGTTGGAGGAATAAACCAGAAGATGGAAGATCTCTCTCTTTCTCTCTCTCTTTCTCTCTGTTTCTGTATCTGAAACTCTACCTTTCAAATCAAAATAAAATTTAAAAATAAGAATCATAGACATAAGCAAGACTTTTATGGGCTTGTTGTACGCTGGGAGCACAGAGGTGTCCCCAGAGAAGGAAGGCTTTGGCTCTGATACGCTGGACAGCACTAAGCGCAGCTCTGCCTTGTGCCACCTGTGTGAGCTTAGGCCAGCCACTTTACTCCTCTGAGCTTTAACTGCCTCGCTTGAACAGTGGGAAAAATCGTATTGCCGGGCCTGAAAAAGGATGAAACTTGGAAAGTACTTAGAGCCATGGGCCACATCTGTGAGGTTTTCAGGAATGTTGGCGACAATCTGAAACTCAGGGAGGCCTGTCCCAGGCTGCCAGCCTTACCATATGCATTTCTGAGAGGAACAAAACTGAGTCACAGTGTGGTTAAGATGGAAATAGGACAGGTGGTGGCAGGACCAGATTTGGAACCCAGACGGGCTCCAGAGCTCGGGCCTTTGCCCATGAGCTGAAGCACAGAGCAAAGCTCCAATGAGCCCCAGAAGGGGCGTGCTGGGCTGCTGGGAGAGGTGGGGGGCAGAGGGGATCCCTGCACATAGAAGGTAGTGAATGGTCCTGCCCTACCTGTGTCCCAGCACATGACCTGCTGGGGCGGGGAAGCCAGTGCTCCAGGCTAACTCACCCCTTGCTCTACACAGAAGGAAGAGAGGCCCGTGTCTCCCCCCGTGGAGGTGGATGACCCTCAGGAGTTTGTGCTACGCCCCGCACCCCAGGGCCGGACAGTGCGCTGCCGGCTGACCAGGGACAAGAAGGGCATGGATCGGGGCATGTACCCCTCCTACTTTCTGCACCTGGACACGGAGAAGAAGGTAGGCAGAGAGGTGGCTGGGGAAGTGCACCTGCCCCCCACCAGCCCCTCACCCCATGTTCTCATGCTGTCTTTCTTACCTGCCTCTCTTTCTCTCCAGGTGTTCCTCTTGGCTGGCAGGAAACGGAAACGGAGCAAGACCGCCAACTACCTCATCTCCAGCGACCCCACCAATCTGTCTCGAGGAGGGGAGAATTTCATCGGGAAGCTGAGGTGGGCCAGACTAGGAGGAATGAAGCGGGGGGCGGGGGGGTCAGCAAAAGGGCCAGCACCTGGGGGAGGACCATGAGGGGGAGGCCCACGTGGCTGACCCAGGAACCTCGCCGGCAACTGGGCATAAGCTCCATCCATGAGGGAGGAGTCCACACCTGTTTGGCTCATGGTCGACTGCCTAGTGCCTAGCACACAGTAGGTAATCAAGAAGCCCCTCAGCACAGCTGTCATCCAGTCATCCCGGCAGAGGCACAGGGGGAAGGTGCCCGAGCTACGTCCCTCTGTTGTTCATGCAAGTGACAGCGCCTGCTTGTGTCAGGCAGAGTTCTAAGCCTGCGATAGCTGGGGCTGGGCCAGACTGAAATCTGGAGCCTGGGACTCCATCCTGGTTTCCCGCATAGCTGCAGGGGCCTGAGCACTTGGGCCACTTCCATTGCCTCCCAGGGTGCACGTGAGCAGGGAGCTGGATCAGAAGTGGAGTACTGGACTCCAGCCAGCACTCGGATATGGCATGTAGGCGACTTAACTACCGTGGCATATCACCCACCCCAACTTGCAAATATGAATTCACTTAATCCTTTTACCACTCAAATGAGAGAAATGTTGTTGCTGTACCCATTTGATAGATGGTGAAGTCAAGGCTCCATGAGTTGGGGTTACTCACTGAAAGTCACACAGCTTGTAGGGGCCGGGACTAGGATTTGAATGCTGTCCCTTAGGGTATGGGATGTTCACTGCTCAGGTCTCACCCTTGACACAGGAGCTCACAGCCTGCTTGGCCTCTAGTCTCCCTCCCCTTGCCTGCAGGTCAAACCTCCTGGGGAATCGCTTTACCGTCTTTGACAATGGGCGGAACCCGCAGCGTGGAGGCAGCAGTGCAGACGTAGCGAGCCTTCGGCAGGAGCTGGCAGCCGTCATCTACGTGAGGCCCCCTCCTGTTCCCCGTGCCCCCAGCTCTGCTGTCCCCTGCCCGCCTGCACAGCAGCCCCTCTCCCTAACAAGCCCCTCCTTTCCAGGAAACTAACGTGCTGGGATTCCGCGGTCCCCGACGCATGACAGTGATCATTCCAGGCATGAATATGGACAACGAGAGGGTCCCGATCCGGCCCCGAAACGTGAGCCCCACCCCTGAGGGTCCTGTGCTCTGTGTGGCCCACTGCAGGGAGGCAGGGGGTGAGGGCTGCACTCCCCAGAGACAACAGTGTGCTCAGCCCCTACATGCACATGCACACACACACACACACACACACACATCCCTGCACATTGACCCTCTACATACTACACACGCGTACACACACCCCACCCAGCGCATCCCTGTACCACAGTGCTTTCTGGCTCTTGGTGGAACAGCCTGAACTTTTGTCACTGAATTTGCTCAAATAGCCACAATAGGATTTTTGGTTTTCACACGCTTGAATCAAGTCAACCATTCATGCACTCATTGAACACACATGTACTGAGCATTCATTACTTCCAGGCACCTGAAACCCATCAGTGGGACACAACAAGACAGTCCCTGTGGGGGCTGGGGAGGTGCAGAGCAGGAGAGAAGTCGTCAGTGCTCACACTGGGTGTACGAGAAGGGAGACATGGGGAGATGCAATGAAGTCTTGATGGGGAGGGAGTGAGCCTGCCTGGACCTGGCAGGGTGGCAGGCATAGCCATTGCAAAGGCAGAAGGGAGACCGGTGGGCTTGAGGAGCAAGGTGTGGCTGCAGGAAGGCGAGGTCAGAAGGAAGCCAGGGGTAGACAGGGCCATCTACCAGCTACTTTTTACTCCCTGAGAGATGGGAAGCCACAACAGAATCTTGAGCAAGGGAGTGGCATGAAGGACTTTTAAAGGCAAACATTGTATGTGTGTCAAGTGCAGAGGTAGACAGGGTGTGGCCACACTGTGTGTGGCTGTGGTCATAGCCATGCCCGCCCCCTGCCATGGCACTCTGCTCCCGGACACGGCAGGTGGAGTGGGCCCGGGAGTTCTGAGAGGTAATGACTGCACGCCCTGTGCTCATAGCAGACTGATGTCACTTTACTCATTTAAAAATGAAAAATAATACGCCTGTCAGCTGATCACACATCCTTCCCACTGGAAAGTCACACCGCCATCAGAGGCCAGGCTGACCTGGAAGGTTTGCCCTGCCTGTAGGTCCCTCATCTGCTCTTTCCATGCCTGGAAAAGCACACACAAGTCCTCTGAAACCAGCATCACCTGCCCAGCTGGGCGTGACAAGAAGCGCCCAATGCCACTTTGGGTTTTGCCATCAGCCAACGGCGCCTTCTGTCACGTTCATTTATGATGCAAGGATTCTGCAGTAGGGGCTGAGAACAACACCCTGGTCATCACAGTAATAGCAGGACCCGCTTGACATAACACTGCATGTGCCATGAACTTAGGGAACCCCACGATGCCCCATGCAGAGAAACTGAGGCACAGCTGCATGGATACAAATCTCCTTCTGTCCATGTCAGTGCAGTGGGAGAGGTGGGAAGATCCAGGCTCCCACAAGCTCAAGGTGGAGACATCCCAACCAGCTGTGGGGCCCCAAAGCCCTGCGGGAGGTGACCGTGACAGACTTCATTTTCAGCCATCAGTGAGAGTTGGAAACAAGACAGCCCCCACTCTCCCACCTCCCCGCAGACCCGGCCCCTTCCTCTCAGAAGCTCTCCTTCCAGCATATTTTCACCATCACTTACCTGTCCACCTGCCCAAGATCAACCATGAGCGCCTTGGGGCTCCCAGGAGGACTGGAGCATCCCCATGACCAGGGCCAGCCTGTGGCCATCCCCCAGGGTCTCCTGGGTGCCTATGGTGCCATGGGCTGAATAGACACATGCTGAGCACCAAGTATTATTCCAGCACCCACAGGATATACAGGACAGAACAGAGATCTGCCATCTTTTTAAATTCCTTTAAAGGTATATTTAGTTGGGGTGGGGGAAAGCAGCATGATGGCTCAACTGGTTAATTCTCCCTTTGTAAGCATTGGGATTCCATGTGGGTGCCAGTTCCTATCATCCACTTCCCATCCAGCTCCCTGCTTATGACCTGGGAAAGCAGTGGAATATGGCCCAAAACTCTGCACCCAGGTGGGAGACCAAAGAAGCTCCTGGCTTCAGATTGGCTCAGCTCTGGCCATTACAGCCACTTGGGGAGTGAGCCAGCCAACAGAAAATCTTTCTATCTCTTCTTCTCTCTGTAAGTCTGAGTTTCCAATAAAAATAAATAAATCTTAAAAGAGAAAGTGAGAGAGAGAGAGAATCTTCCACTAGCTGGTTTATTTTCCACACATCCCATACGCTTGCATCACCTGGGTCTGGGTCAGACTGAAGCTAGAACTCAAAACTCCACCCCGATCTCCCAAGTGGGTTGCAGGGGGTCAGATACTTGGAGCATCCTCTGCTGCCTTCCAGGTACAGTAACAGGGAGCCAAGTCAAAGGCAGAGTGGTTGGGACTGAACTGTTGCTCTGACATGGGATGCTGGTGTCACAAGCAGCAGCTTACCCTACTGCATCACAAGGCCTACCCCAAAGACCTGACCTCTTGAAGTTGGCATTGTAATGGAGGGAACAGACAGCAGAGTAACAACTCAGTAAGGGGAACAGTGAGTGCCTGCTGTGGGCCAGATGTCCCTTGCCTATTTTCCACCCCTCCACCTTGGCATCCTGCAGACCAAGCCCCCTACTCACACATGTGTGTGTTGCCAGCCTGCCGCCCTGGCATGTGCTTCATGGGTATCCAGACCCAGGTTGCATACACCTGCCAGGGCACAGGTGCACAGGTGCCCAGGCCTGGTCTGTGGGCAGTCCTGAGCCACCCTGGCCGCCTCTGACTGTCCTCTCCCTATCTCCCCGCCCCCGGTTGGGGGACCCCAGGCCAGTGATGGGCTGCTGGTGCGCTGGCAGAACAAGACGTTGGAGAGCCTCATTGAGCTACACAACAAGCCACCCGTGTGGAATGAAGACAGCGGCTCCTACACACTCAACTTCCAAGGCCGCGTCACGCAAGCCTCCGTCAAGAACTTCCAGATCGTCCATGCGGATGACCGTGAGTACCCAAGGGCCCCAGCTTGGGCTGCTCCTCTGCCCCACCCCAGGACTCTATCCCTGGCTCAGGCCTTCCCTCATGCTTCCACCATCCCCTCTTTCTCTTTCATGAGCCTGACCCTAACCTCAAAGTCACATTCTTCTTTTTTAAAGATTTATTCATTTTTATTGGGAAGTCAGATTTACAGAGAGGAGAGACAGAAAGATGCCCCATCCACTGGCTCACTCGCGAAGTGGCCACAATGGCCAGAGCTGAACCGATGTGAAGCCAGGAGCTTCCTCCAGATCTCCCATGTGAGTGCAGGATCCTAAGGCTTTGGGCCACTCTCCACTGCTTTCCCAGGACACAAGCAGGGAGTCGAAAGGGAACAGAGCAGCCAGGACACAAACCAGTGCCCACATAGGATCCTGGCACATGCAAGGCGAAGACCTTAGCCACCAGGTTACCGTGCTGGGTCTAGGGTCAGTTTCTCCTCTCTGGCTGTGACACCGTTCCCAGGAGCCTCAGCTGTCCATCCCAAAGTGTGTGTCCTGGGACCCATGACACCTGCTTCCTGATTTGGTCAGACCATGGAGTGCAACCTGGAGCATTCTGGGTGAGATGGTGCTGGAGGGTGATGGAGATGGTACAGAGGTGACTGTACTCTCACTCAGCTCCTCCAGGCAGCTGTGCTGGCCCTTGGAACATAACCTGCAGACACACAGTGCTTCGCGGCTGCCAGGCACTGCTCTCATTCAGTGTGTTAAACCTGTCCCACAAGTCTGTGGCGGGTCGCTGTTACCATCCCCATTCTACAGCTTAAAAAACAAAACACGGAGGGCACAGAGAGACTGAGTAAACTCCTCAAAATCACACAGCTAGTCAAAGGGAGAGCTGGGATTAGAATCCTGGTTGTCTGGCCTAGTGCTTGGGTTCTTAAAGCTACTCCTTAAGATGATTGTCAGGGGGCCTGGTGTGGTGGCCTAGCAGCTAAATCCTCGCCTTGAATGTGCCGGAAACCCATATGGGCGCCGGTTCTAATCCCAGCAGCCCTGCTTCCCAACCAGCTCCCTGCTTGTGGCCTGGAAAGCAATCAAGGACCGCTCAAAGCCTTGGGAGCCTGCACCCATTCAGGAGACCCAGAAAAAGCTCTTGGCTCCTGGCTTCAGATAGGCACAGATTCAGCCATTGCGGCTGCTTGGGGACAGAAGAGATGGAAGATCTTCCTCTCTGTATATCTGAGTTTACAATAAAAATAAAATAAATCTATATATAAAAAAAGATGATTGTCAGGGCTAGTGCTATGGTGTTGTGCTATGGGTTAAGCTGCTTCCAGTCTGTGCCTGTTCCACTTCCCATCCAATTCTCTGCTTAGCTCCTGGCTTTGACCTGGCCATTGGAGCCATTTAGGAAATGAACAGTGGTGGAAAAGATCTCTCTCTCCCCTCCTTTCTAACTCTGGATTTCAAATAACTAGGTAAATCTTTTTATTTATTATTTATTCATTTGAAAAGCAGAGTTACAGACAGACAGATCTCCCAGCCATTGGTTCACTCCCCATAAGGCTGCAGTGACCGGAGCTTGACTGTTCTGAAGCCAGGTGCCAGGAGTCTCTTCTGGATCTCCCACATGAGTGCAGGAACCTAAGCATTTGGATCATCCTCCGTTGCTTTTCCCAAGCCACTAGTCAGGAGCTAGATCAGAAGTGGAGCAGCCGAAACTTGATGTGGATATCCATGTGAGATACCAGCGTCACAGGAGGCGACTTTCTACCATGCCACAATGCTGGCCACAAATAAACATAATTGTAGCAGAGAGGGTCTTTTTTTTTTTTGCAAAGATTTATTTATTTTTATTTTATTTATTTATTTATTTATTTATTTATTATTTTTATTTATTTATTTTTATTTTATTATTATTATTATTTATTTTTATTTATTTATTTTTATTTATCTAATTCCGGCAGCTCCACTTTCCATCCAGCTCCCTGCTTGTGGCCTGGGAAAGCAATGGAGGACGGCCCAAAGACTTGGGACCCTGCACCTGCAAGGGAGACCCAGAGGAGGCTCATGGCTCCTTGCTCTGAAATGGCTCTGCTCCTACTGGGGCATGAGCCAGTGGATGAAAGATCCTTCTGTCTCTCCTTCTCTCTGTAAATCTGACTTTCTAATAAAAAATAAATCTTAAAAAAAAAAATTTCTTATTTGAAGAGTGGCATTGTGGGTGCAGCAAGTAAGGCCACTGCCTGCCACGGCAGCATCCTAGATGGTTACCAGTTCGTGTCTGGGCTGCAGCTTTTCTGATCCAGCTCCCTGCTAGTGGCCTGAGAAAAAGCAGCAGAACTCACCCCAAGTCTTTGGGTCCCTGCTATGGATGTGGGAGACCTGGATGAAACTCCTAGCTTTAGCCCAGACCACCACAGGCTGTTGCAGTCATCTGGAGAGTGAACCAGGAAATGGAAGATCTCTTTCTGTCCTTCCACTCCCCTCAGAACTGATTTTCAAATAACAGTTTTTTTTTTTTATTTTTTTTTTTTAAAGATTTGTTTTTATTATTTTTTTTTTTTATTGGAAAGGCGGATATACAGAGAGGAGAGACAGAGAGGAAGATCTTCCGTCCGATGATTCACTCCCCAAGTGAGCGCAACGGGCCGATACTATGCCGATCCGAAGCCAGGAGCCTCTTCCGGGTCTCCCACGCGGGTGCAGGTTCCCAAAGCTTTGGGCCGTCCTCTACTGCTTTCCTGGGCCACAGGCAGGGAGCTGGAAGGGAAGCGGGGCTGCCGGGATTAGAACCGGCGCCCATATGGGATCCCGGGCGTGCAAGGCGAGGACCTTTAACCACTTGCGCCACCGCGCCGGGCCCGCAAATAACAGTTTTTTTAAAAAATTAATCTGAAAGAAGATGAAAGAATGAGAGAGACCTTCCAGGCCCCAAATACTACAAACACCTGGGCTGGGCCAGGCAGAAGCCAAGAGTGAGAGAAGCTCTCCGGCTAGTCTCTGCTGCCCTGCCAGCTGCCTTGGCAGGGAACTGGATCCAAAGTGAAGTGACTGGGATCCAAACCTGAACTCCAGCATGGGAAAAGAGGAACCCCAAGCTGCAGCTTAACCCACTGCACCCATGGCAGGGAATCACTTGAGGGCTAACTCCATCTTTACCCAAATAAGGCCAAAGGACAACCCTGAAGGAGTTTGGGAAACAAGCTACACAGAGAACACAACTAAGCAGCAGCGTCCCTGTTGTAATCTGGGACAAGAGGGTCCCCACTAGGTGAGGGCTTAGGTCTGACTTAATAGCGTTGGGTCCATGCCATGCCATCCACACTTCCCCCGAGGAATGGGTCCCCGCTGTCATCTGTCCTGGAGCCCAGGGTTTGGGGATGCCCTATGGTCAGTAGTTTGGGGGTGTTGTATGGTCAGCAGCTTGCCATGGGGGTGCAGGGGAGAGGTGTTGAGTTTGGGACTTGGAACCTGGATCTGAGACAGGATAGGAGTGGAGCACTCGCTGAAGTCAGGAAGGGGGCAGTGGGGAGGAGGGCTAGTAAGTTGTGTCCAAGATCTCCAGTGTGAACAAAACCTGGGTAGCCTAGACAGGGTCCTAAAGTGCTTCATGCTTGAGGTATGTCCCTGGGCACGAGTGGTAAGAGCTGGTCCCTGCCCTGGGGGCTTATGGTCTGAGGAGCCGCAAAGCTACAGATGGGGGTGCTGTGTGAGATAAGGGGGGAGCGGTGAGTACAGAGATGGTGGCTGAAGGTTAAGACTCAAATGCAAGCTTAGAAGCTCTTCCCGCCCCTTAATTCTGAGGGTTCTGCCTGCCAGGGCCGGGATATAAGGGGGGTTCTCAGTCGCTCCCCATTTGGCTTCCATAGCTGACTACATCGTGCTACAGTTCGGCCGCGTGGCGGAAGACGCCTTCACCCTCGACTACCGGTACCCACTGTGCGCCCTGCAGGCCTTCGCCATTGCTCTCTCCAGCTTCGACGGGAAGTTGGCCTGCGAGTGACCCCTGCCGCCCCGCGCGCCACCCCACCCCCCACCGGCCCGCCAGCCGCCAGCGCGAGAGAGGGATCCGGTTCAAGGGAAGTCCCATACGGCCCCTGCAACTGCAGCCTCGATGGGAGACCCCTCCTCGGCCAGGGGGGCTGAGCCCTCCCTGCCTCCTGGCGACCTCCGGTCCTCGCCCCAGCCTGGCACAACCCCCGGCAGGAGGGGCTCGGGCCGTCTCCCCGGACAGAGACGAAGAACATCTGGAGTGGCCACAGCACATCTGGCCGCAGAGTCCGCCTGCGCCGCGCCCCAGTCACTTCCTGTCGGGAGCAGTAGTCGGTGTTGTCTTAACCCGCCTCCCCCTCCGCACCCTTACTCCTGGACAACACGAGGCCGAGGAGTCGGGACGGGCTGGTGGGAGGGGAGCCTGGGTGACCGGGCCAGGGCAAGACGCCCGCGTCCCCCAATAAAGCCGAGCTCCTGGCTGAGAGCAGTGAGGGGTTCCTGAGGGCGCGGGCGCGCCGAGATCCCGGGGCGGCTCCGCGCCACCTTCCCGCCCAGGCCCCGGGCGCGCCCGTCGCGGGTCCCACCGAGCCTCGGGCGGGCGCACGGCGTCGGGCCGCGCCTGCTCCCCTGTCCCCCGCCCCCTCGCGGCTGGGGCCCCCAAGAAGCCGGGCTGAGAGGGAGGGCCCTGGAGGTCCGGGAAGAGAGCGACAGACAGAAATTCGAGAAACAAGCCTCTCGGGGAGAACCAGACAAACCGGGTCCGGGCAGGCCGGGCGCAGCCGTCAAGGGCGGAGCCGGGCTTGGGGGGGCCCCCGGGAGTTGGGGGGCGGCGGGCGGGCGGCCGGGCGAGCGAGAGGGGGCGCTCCGCCTGGGCAGCTCGGGACGTGGCGAGGGGTGGGGGACAGGCAAGCCCCGAGGCGGCCCGTGCACTAGGGTTCCGCCGGGGTGCTCGTGACGCGGCACCCGCGGCCCCCGCACCGCAGGCAGCCCGGCCCGCCAGGCGGGAGCTCCGCCCTGGACCCCGCCCCGGGCCGGAGCCTCGAAGTGTCCGCTCAGTGCTTGGAGTGGTGTGGTAGGGGCTCGGGGCGCCGAGGCTAGGTGGGGTGCGTGGCTGTGGCGGGAGGCAAGCAGGGGGTGTCCCGGCCGGGCCCGGTCCGCCCGGAGCCCGGGGTCCCGCGGTCGAGGGAGTGGGCGGCCCCCCGAGCGGCTCCGCCTTCCCGGCCAAGGCCCGGCCCCCCGCGCGCGCGCGCCCCGCCTCCTCTCCCGCAACCCCCACCCCCCGCCCCGGCTCCTCAACACAAACTTTCCGTCCCGCTCGCTCCCTCCTCCGCGCCCGGCGCCTCCCGCTCCAGCCCGGCTCATTCCGCACATTCCGGCCGGCCCCCTCCCCACGACCCCCCTTCCCCGGCCCGCCTCCCTCAGCCCCTCTCGGGCCCGGCGGAGCGGCCCGGCCGGAGCGCCCCCCCGAGCTCGGACCAGGTAAGCCCGGCGGACGCCGGCAGGAGGCCCTGTTGGCGAGAGGGAGTGGGTTGGTCGGTCTGCATGGGGGGCTCTCGAGAGGGGCCGGATCCCCGAGCTATTGTCCAGCCAGAACGCGAGCCCCAGATGTGGGTGCCGGGAAGTTTGGGAGGCAAAGGGGGAGACGAACTCTCCGGGAAGCCCCGCCTCCCCACCGTCCGTCTCCCCCCCCACCCCTCCGCCCCGCGCCCGGGACGAGTGGATCGGGGGAGGTTAGGGAAGCCAGATGATCGTGTCCCCCCAGTGCCATGCCCCGGCGCCACCGTGCCGCGCCAGGGGTGCGGGCTGTGGGGGCACAGGGCTGGCCGGGGCCTGGCAGCCCGGAGCTCGCATCCGGGGCGCCCAGTCCCGGTCTCCGCCGCCCTTTGGACTCCTGGAGCCCGCCGGGCCCCAGCTCCACGCAGGCCTCGGGCCCGGCTGCCTGCGCCCAGGCCGGTTCCTGCGCGCTCTGTCCCGCGGCGGCGCTGGGTGGCTGGAGGGTGCCTAAAAGTAAAGTTGGGTGCCCTGGGTGTGTGCCCCTCCGAGAGTCAGGGGCTTGGGTTTCCCCCTGCCTCTGCCGCTTGCCTCCGAGTGGGGTTCCAGGGCGCCTAGTTCCGGGAGAGGGCTGCTTTGGGGTTTTGGTTCCCCCTATACCCACGCCCCACGACGTCCTCAGGGTCCAGATTGAACTTCAGAGAGTTAGAAGGAGGCTCAACTCCCAGGCCCACTCCAGACCCCTCCATTGTCTGTCCTACCCTCTATTCCTGCCTGGGAGGGAGAATTGGAGACTGCGTTGCCTCTGTTTGCCAGCCAGGCCCCGGGGACAGTGTCATGGAGACCCCACTCTGCCCCCTCTGCCGGAGCAGGTCTAGACCAAGTGGGGTGGGGGGCAGGCAGCCTTTGGGGAGGGTGTTTCAGGGGCTCCTGCCTTCCTTCCGTGTCTCACCTTGCTCTCCAGGTAAAGGCAGAACCGTGTCAGGCCTGGACTTGCAGCCCAGGAGGCAGGGGCTGAGGGTGGGGGCTGGACACGGCGCAGAGGGGCTGGTGCCTGTAAGCAGGGCCTGCTGCGGCCGGCTCTGGGAACACACGTCCAACCTCGGTGCTAGGCCGGATGCTGGGGGCAGCCTGGGGCAAAGAGGAACAGTTCTGCTGTCCATGAGGTGGGGGTGGCGGGAAGGGAATTATATGTCTCTCCCTTCCAAACTCCTGCAGCCTCCTGCTCTAAGACCCCCTCCCCTAGACCTAATCCCCCTACCAAAAAAAAAAAAAAAAGAAGAAGAAGAAGCAAGAATGTGGTTTCCTATTCTTCTGGGTCCCTGCCCCGCTCTTCCAAGGCTGGGCAGCAGGTGTCTCCTTCAGGAATAGGTTTTCTGGTTAGTGTAGCTTCAGGATGGATGGCTCTCCTCAGAGAGGGGCCGGGATCCAAAAGGAGTCTCCAGTTCCCCTGCTTTCCTCCACTCATCCTAGGGAGAGCACCGTAATTAATGCTAATGAGTGCATTTGGGCTGGGGAATGGCTGAGTGGATTGGTCAGTGGTTGGTTGGCAGGAGGGAGCTGCATTTGTGTGTGTGTGTGTGTGTGTGTGTGTAGTCCTGTGCTTCCACCCCCCCTGCCTTGGGGTTTGCAGACCCTGGTGCTGGGACAGGGAGGGAGAGCAAGCAGAGAAGGGCAGGGGATTAGGGCTGTGTTCCTGTCTGGTCCTCTGTCAAGCCGGGCCATCTCAGAGTCTCCCTGCTTGGAGTACATGACTTCTCAGGCCCCGGATCTCTGAGTGCCTCCCAGAGATTCTGTCTCCAAAGGCAGTGTGTTCTGGAGAGGTGAGTGGGTGGTGGATCCGGGGGTGACCCAGGGAAGGAGGCAGGGGTGATTGAAGACAGGCTAAAGCAGATGGATGTGGCGGAAGAGGCTGCCGAAAGCAGGTGTCAAAGGATGGGGAGGCCTGGGGCCGCTGGGGGAACATGGCTGTTCATGTGGCAGCAGGACCCAGGGGTGACTCTTGTGCAGTGGCCACTTAGATGGTCTGTGTATCTGTCCTACTGCCAGCCTCTCCTGGGACACCCCCACACCAGGGGCTCTGTGTGGTAGGTGAGTAGAGGTCCAGGCTGTCAGGCTCCCCAGCTCAGGGCTCTGGAAGGGAGGAGCAGAGGGGTCAGTGCTTGGCGAGCAGAGACAGGGAGCTGGTGGTCCCAGGCCCCAGAGAGCTGGGAGCCCTCATGGCATAGTGCTGCAGCTTCCTAGGAGGGAGCGGGGAGGTGCTCCCTGTGACAGCAGAAATAGTAGGTCCCTGGGGTGGTCTTGAGAAGCCCAGGCCTCCCAGGGGGCCTCTGGGCAACAGCAGCTCCCCCAGCCAAAGCTGGGGAGGGTTGTGGGTCACATGGCACTCCCCCCTCCCCCCCCCACGGCTTTGCCTGCCCCTCCTGCCAGCTGAGGTCGTTGTCCACAGCTGCCTGCGGCCCACTCCGGGCAGGCGGTAGAGGAGTGTGGACTCTACCTCCCTCCGTGGCCTGGGGCCCGGCTCCCCTGCCCATCTACCTCCCTCTGTGGCTGGGGAGGCATCCCCAGAGCCCAGGCCTCGGGGTTTCCTAGAGTGCTGATTGTTTCCTGTGCTCCCTGCCAGAGCGGAGAGGACAGGAAGCGATAGAGGGAAATAGGAGCGCAGCTCTGCCAACGGGAGCATGAGGGGGACCATGGGGCTGGGGGTGGAGGAAGGGTGTGGGGACAACAGGGAAGGCCAAGGAGGGGGTGCTGCTGAGACAGGTGTGAGTCGCTGTGACACACAGCGTGTGCCACCAGCATTGCGGTGTGTTACTGCACACGTGTGTCTCCTGGTGACACAGGATGTGTCCGGTGGTATAAACAGTTCCACCGTTGTGTGCTGATGTGCGTGTGTGTGTGTGTCTTGATCCTGTGGTGTATGTGACCTGTGTGTGTGTGACGAGTTCATGACAGGTCTGTCTCTGTGACAAGTGAAATGACAAGATCCGCTCACCATGGCACGACATGCGGGCGGACCGTGTCCCCGGACACAGGGGCACGTGTGTCAGGAAGAAGTCACGGCAGCTGTGTGTCAGAAGCCACCCGGTGTGGGGGGCTCTGTGTGAGGGCCACACCGTAGGGAAGGCCCAAGACGGCTGCTTGGGTGGTCACTGTCTGAGCGTGGTGTGTGGGTGACACCCTGGGCAGCTGTGCCAGACAGGGCCTGGGCGCCAGTGCACGTGACGACATGGAATACTCTAGAAAAGGTAACCGTGAAGGCTGGGAGAATGATTAATGCCACTGAATTGTGCCCGTAAAAATGGCTAACATGGTCCATCTTTGGAAAAAGAGCGGAGTGCAGCTTCCAGATGTGGTTGTGAGGTTATGACTGTGAGCTGAAGAGGAACGGCACCAAGCAGCTGGTCTTCGCCAGGGACACAGCTTCTTAGGGTGACAGCTTCTGGGGTGACCAGGGGCAAGGCAGGATGATTGAGAGCTGGGAAACCTGCAGCTGACGCTCCCCCCACTTCCTTAGCCTGTTTTCCATTGGCTACCTGAGACTCCCCACCCCACCCCACCCCAGCTCCCTGGAAGGAGGAGTAGGTGAGGGGTGTCCCAGGAGGAGATGAGGTGGGGGGTCTGGGAGCTGGGCCCCTTCTCTACATCAGACATGATAACGCCGAGCAGGGAAGGAAACCCTGAGAAGCCATCCTGTCCCATGTGGTGGGAGAGGAGGGCCCCCCAGTCTTGATTCCCAAATTAGAAGCACATTAATAAACCGGGCGGGCTGGGAGGGGGAGGAGAAGGAGGAGACAGCCCCCACTCCCTCCTCCTGGCCTCTGCAAATTGCTTCCTCCTGGAAGATTCAAGCCCCCACTGCAGGGAGCAGAGTCCTCCCCAGCCTGGTGGGGTGTGGCTCACTTGGCACGGTCCCTCTGGGGTCCTCAGGCTGGAAGGGGGAATGGCTAACGCCTCCCCCTCTCCTCCCCTCCTCTACCCCAGCCGGGTCCCAGGCAGAGCCCCAGCCACTTGTAGGGTGGGAGCCTCTGGCAGCTGGAGAACAGCTGGCCTGCGGTGGGGGCGGAGCGGGGAGGGGGTGGAGAGCCTTATTCTGCTGCCCTCCCATCCCCAGCCCCCCTGGTCTGGGTGGAGGGAGTCGAGGGTAGTGCAGCCTGGCCTGGGCAAGCAGGGGCACTCAGCGGGGGCGGGGGGCGGGGAGGACTGCTGATTTGGCCAGTCTTCTCTGAGAGAGGACATCAAACACATTCAGGGAGAGCCCTTGGAGACCGGAGTTCCCAGAGCTGCTGCCTGCTAGACCCAGCAAGGCCTGGGCTCCCGTGGGGAGGAGCCCACCTAGTCCCGGCTCCCCCCCCCCAGCAGGGCAGCACTGCTGTGGAGCTCAGACCGTCTGACCCTCCTTCCTCACCTGAAGAGGCCTGGAGACCTGGTGCAGGGTGATGGGGGTAGGGGTCCAGGCCTCAGCAGCTGCCCTGACTCTGGCCTCCTCCCTGGAGCTGTCTGGCCAGTTCTTCCGGCAGATCTGGCCCCAGGGCTGGGGAGTGGGCAGCAGCATGCCCCTTATCTCCCAGAAAGCCCCAAAGCCTGCTCACCCAGCCTTCTAACCCCCATCCTTTCCCTGCCCCCACCGTGAGGCACATTGTGAGCCCCAAAGGGCCCAGCCAGGGGATGGGGAAAGCAGGTGGGGCTGGTCAGATGGAGGTGCAGGAAGAGAACCCACCAGGAGAGTGGGTTTGCAGGGGGTCAGGGGGCCTGGCTGTGAGGTATAGAGCAAGGGGCCTGGGGGACAGGGGGACAGACTGCTGACTCCTGTCCTAGCTATGCGCCCCCTCCCCCGCAAGCCTTGTCACTCCCTCTGGCTGGGTCTGCTCTGGCCTCTGGTTTCCTGGCCACCCCTCCTTGGCTGGGGCCTGTCCTGTCTGAGTTTATTGGCCTTTCTTTTCTGTCCCTGTGGCCCTGCTCAGAGCTCTGGGTCTCTGGATCTCGTGAAGGCATTCATTCTCTGTTCTCTTCCCCAGTCCAGCGTGGCATCCCAGACTGAGTGTGGTTGGTCTCCCTCTATCCTGCTCTGGCCCTGGCACAACCCACCTCCCCAGCCTCTGAGTGACTCTCCCACCAGCCCCGGCTTGGTGGTCTTGCCTTTCCACTTCACACACGCTCCCCTGCCATCCCAGGCCAGCCTTCTCTCCCATAGCCTGCTCTGTGGCCACTGGCTGCACCACTCCTTCCTCCCAGCCAGGTGAGGCTCAGCAACCTGGCCCTCTCCACCTGCCTGGCTGCCTTCCTGACCCCTCCTCAAACCCTCCTGCTTGCTCACGGTGAGCCCCACACTTGTCAGAGAACCCGTACCCACCCTACCTGGGGCTGCATCTAGCGAGGGTGGGGCGAGCTTGCCCTCATCCCCAGCAGAGCTGACCTTTCTTTTCTGCCCAGGCTGTGTGGAGGTTGCACACAGGGACCCTGGGCCTGCTATCTGCCTGCCTCTGCCCACCTGTGTGCCTTGCATGAGGGTGCAAAGCACACACAGACACACACATTTGCACATGTGTACACCCATACACAGCTGTGGATTGGGGGTGCCACCTGCCTGCCACATCAGTGGGCACCACTGTTCTAGACAGTGGGTCTGGCGTGTGCCTAGGAGCCAGCAAGAGGCACGGTGGTCCCGCTAGTCTCCCTGACCTGACCCGTGGGCCGCCCCCGCCTCCCCTCCCCCTCAGCAGCTGCCAGCGGTCCCAGCCAGGGGCCGCCCGCCCTGCCCCCCCTCTCTGTCCCAGCTCCCAAGCGCAGCAGCGTTCGCCATATTTGGCCACAGTGCTCCCGCGGGGGGCGGGGCGGGGCTGACATCACCCGGAGGGGGGGTGCTGCTACGGGGGAGGCAGGCAAGTTGTCTTCTGGGCTGCCAGGCCCCCCCCAGGCGCTGGGCCCGGCTGGAGGGGAGTGGTCTTAGCCCATCACAGCTCTTCTTTCTTTTCCTCCCCTTCTGACAGCCCCTTGGCAGTGTCCCATGGGTACCTGGCGAGCCTCTACCCCCACAACATTGTCCAGTGCCAGAGTTCCCCACCAGACTGAGTACGGGCCATGGGAGAGACTCCGCAGGGGTCTCAGGAGGAGGGCCCTGGTGTGCCGTGTGCTGTGGTGCAGGGGTCTGGACACCCTGTAGTTGCCCTCGCAGCCAGGCCTCCATTCACCCCAGTTCCTTCCAACCCCCACCCCAGCCTTGCCTTGTCCCTCTTGGGTCACAGACTGAAGCCAGACTCCCTAGGTCCAGAATTCATCTCTAGCCCTGCACACTGTGTATCCTTGGCAAGCTGTTTCCTTGCTGTGTTTGTAAAGTGGAAATAGCGTTTGCCCGTGGGGTTACTGCGAGGATAAAATGAGGCAGTACAGACACAGGCTCTGAACCAGCCACGGGGCAAGTATTAGTAGTAGGGATGCGAAATCTAACTCCACACCTGAGATTAGGCCCTCCCAGTACCCTCTCCTGTCCCTAAGGCCCTCCCAAGGAAGCTGGCATTCCCCAGGAACCCAACCCTACGTACCCAACAGGACTCCCTGCAGGTGTGACAGCCCCCGCCTGTCCACCCTGCACCTCTCCCAATAGTTTCAGGGTCTAGCCATCCCCCAGGGTCCTGATGGACACTGAGAATGGGGCTGGGGGTATTGCTGTAGGGGGCGCTGGGGTGAGTGTGTTGGGGGCACAGGCTGCGTGTGGATGTGTGCTGGATTAGTAACCCCTGCCTGGCCTGGCAGAGACAGTCAGGGAACTCAAGTTTACAGAGCCAGGCCCATCCACTGTGTGGGCCAAGGTAGGGGCAGCCATTCAGGCATTTTAGACTACTGCTGCGGGGCCTGGAGGTGCTGGCACCGAAAGTGGGGTGGAGGAGCTGCTGTACTGAGAAGCTATTGACCGGGCACTTTTTCTCAGCTGCTCCATCGCCAGCCAGCCCTCCCTTCTTGCAGGAACTCCTAAGTCCACTCTGCCCAGTCAGGGTTCTCCACAATGGCTTATCCAGGGGAAGGTGAAGCCACACCTGGCTCTTGAGACTGGGGCAGTTTCCTACTGGGGACCCGGCAGCTGGAAGGAGGGGCTGAGCACTCCTGGGGGAGCCCCTGCCATTGCTGCTGCTTCTTTCCTGGCTCCTCTGGGCATCCCTCGGCTTGCTTCCTGATGGCATGGAGAAGAACAAACCAGCATGAGATGCTAGGCTCTGTTAATCCTGCCATTGGTCACCTCTGGTCCTATGCCAGGGGCTGTGGCTGTGGCCATTTAAATCTTAGCCCTCATGACCTCAAAGAGACAGACCTTCTAATTTTTCAGAGAGCTGAAGAAACTTGTCTAAGGTCACACTGCTCTGAATAAACCACGCCCTATCTTCCCTCCATCTCAACCTGGAGCACCTGTCCCTTGGATGGGCATGGGATGGGAGAATAACTAGAATCGGGGGCGGGGAACCCCCAGGCTCTTAACATCCTCTGTGTCACCCCTCATAGGCTCAGGCAGCCCAGTGGGCTCAGGCCCAGAGCCCGGAGCAACCAGCACAATAGCGTCCAACAGCTGGAACGCCAGCAGCAGCCCCGGCGAGGCCCGGGAGGATGGGCCCGAGGGCCTGGACAAGGGCCTGGACAACGATGCCGAGGGCGTGTGGAGCCCGGACATCGAGCAGAGCTTCCAGGAGGCCCTGGCCATCTACCCGCCCTGTGGCAGGCGCAAGATCATCCTGTCGGACGAGGGCAAGATGTACGGTGCGTGCGCGGGAGGCACGCGGGGACACTGCACTGGCCTCCCCGCCCTTCCCCCTGCTCTCCAGCCCCTCACCCAACCGGTTTGGTGAAGACCTGGAGGCCGCCAGCCCGCCACGGGGCGAGTCTGGGCGTGTGAGCCTGTGTGTCCGGATCCTCCTCATAAACAAGGCTGCCCCCCCACCCCCATCCAGTGCAATCTGCACCCCCACCCGTGCCCGCCTGCTCCTCCCCGAGCTGGCCTGAGTGACTCAGTGGGCCCAGGAAACTGGGTCAGTCAGTCCAGTCTGCTCCAAGCCTGGAAGAGGGTCCCTGCCCTGGGGGGAAGGAGGTGAGGGAGGATGGCCAGGGGCAAGGCTTGGCAGGTCACACAGTCACCTTTTGGGCAGGGTGCCCCTCAGAGGGTGGACAGATTTGCACTTTGGAGATGACTTGACCTTGAGGCTGGTTCCTGCTATCCTGTACCCCAGGTCTTCCCAGCAGTGCCAGGCTGATGGAGGCCCACCCTGTCAGCAGCCAGGACCTTAGCGGGTGTGGAGACCCCAGGGGCTGGCTCTTAGCATTAGAGCCCACTTGGGGTGGGGGATGGGGGCAGGCAGATGTTCAGGAGGGCAGGGGAACCTGCCCCCCTCAACTGCTGTGCCAATGGCTGGGGCAGCCCCATGGGGTATTTTTAGACAGGGTGGAGGAAGGGGGAGAGGGGCCCAGCAGGGCAGGGTCCACGGCGGGCGGGGGGGGGCGGGGCGGGGGGGACGGGTTGGGGGGGATTGGAGGAGTAACTTGGCTGGTTCTGTCATAGGAGAGGAATTTGGGGAATGTGGCTGTTCTGGGGAGACCATGGAGTTGGGGGACAGGGAGCCTGAATTGGGGGTAGAGGTGGACAGAAACCCAGCTACATGTTTGCATGCCCCAGTACCTGCAGAGCTGGGTCCTCAGGCATGGTTCAGACTGGAGCCCCTGGCCCCAGGCTCCCAGGGCAGCAGACACTGGTAACTGGTGACGGTGACATGGGGTGACAGGCAAGGTCACAGTGACACATCTTGACACAGACTGTCAGCGTAGGAGGCACGCTGGAGGCTGTCCACACCTTTCTTCCAGGGTCTCCTTGCATAGCAGGAGCCCAGTCCATGTCTCATTGGTGTGCAGGGGGCAAGGGATGTCTTCCTGGACCCTGGTGGGCCCAGTGTCCTGCAACCTGCAGCCCCAGTCTGTCTACAGGGTGGCCTGTCAAGTGTCCTGCCCTTCTTTCCCCCTCTTCTGTGTACCCCTGGGTCCCCGACTCTGCTGCCGCTTTCTGCCACCCTGCTTGCAGGGTTTCCTGCAGGGAGGGGCGTGTCTCTAGCCCCAGCTCCTCCCTTGCCCACTTTTTGTGTTTTTTCTCTCCTCCCACAATGTAGGTCGAAATGAGCTGATCGCACGCTACATCAAACTGAGGACAGGGAAGACTCGGACGAGAAAGCAGGTAGGGAGACAGTTTGTGTTGAAGCCCCTCTGCCCACACAGCCCTTTCAGCTGCCGTGCTGCCCCACTGCCCTCCTCAGAGCTGCCAGGGACCCAGGTACTCTGCCCAGGAAGCCTGACCCAGGTGGTTTACTGGTTAACCAGCAAGATGGAGAACAAGTACAGAGGAGGGAGGCCTGGCTGAGCAGCAGGGCACGGTCCAACAAGATACAAGAGTCTAAGCCAGGGGAGGCTGGGAAGGCTTCCCAGCAGAGGTGTCTTTAAGAAGTTGGGAGTCTGCCAGGCTGAAGGAAGGGAGCAGATCCACCTTTGAGGTCATTATCCTCATGTTGCACAGAAGGAAATCATGACCCAGGGAAGTTAGTTACCTCAAAGCTACTTGGCTGGCAGGACCCAACCCATGGGGCAGGAAAGAGCCAGGGCTGCAGAGGTGAGTGGATAGGGCTGAGGGGTGGAGGCCCTGCTACAAGAGCCCTAGGGGACAAGTTCCCCTGCTCCAGGCAGCAGGAGCAGCAGGAGCAGCAGGAGGGTGCCCCCAATCAGAAGGGTACTATACTGGGAGTGGAGGTGGTGGGCAGGCAACTAAAAGGGCCAGGTGAAGGTGAAGGTGAACTGGGCACACTAGGGGATGACAGTTTCCCATCCTGGAAAGGGTGCTAGAAGCCTAGAGGGGTACTGGTGGGCGGCGGGCAGGAGGGAGGCTGGGCGAGGGAACAGAGATCAGTGCTGGCCCTCTGCCCTCCCCACTTCTCTCTGTGACTGTGCACAGGGCAGGTGTGACCTGCTCACGCCCCTGCCTAATGTCTGCCTGCCCTCCCGTGTAGGAGCCTCAGTTACCCCTCCCTTGCCCAGCCTGGGCTTCATCTTCAAAACCCCGTCTCCCCACCTCTGAGCTTCAGGCAACAGGGAGAGAAACATCAAGGGGGTGGCCCCACCCGGCATCCTGTCCCCTGGGGCCTGGTGGCCAGGAACACTGGTCCAGAGAGTGGTCCAGCAACACTGGTCCATGGGTTCCATGCCATAAGAAACCCATGCCTAGTGTTTTTGTAATGCACATTTTTCATGAGCTTCTTGGAAGATTCCACCTGAACTGCAGCCTAGCCTTGGTTCCATGGGCTTTTGGTGAGTCAATAAGACCAAGAGGCTGGCTAGGAACCGCTGCTGTGGCTGCTGTTCCAGAGGGGAGCTCTCCCTGGTCACAGAGACCTGCTTGTCAAAGTAATCATTAAGCTTTGTCACTTTGAACTGAGGCCTGGGGCGAGTCCATCTTCTTATTTTCAGATTTATTTTTGTTTATTTGTGAGGCAGAATTAGAGAAAGAGCGAGATCTTCCATCCACTGGTTCACTTTCCAAATGACCACATGGCTGGGACTGGGCCAGGCTGAAGCCAGGAGTCAGAACTTCCACCCAGATCTCCTACGTGGGTGGCAGGAGCCCAAGCCCTTGGGCCGTCCACTGCTTTCCCAGGTACATGAGCAGGAAGCTGGATGAGAAGTGAAGCAGCGGTTGGATGGGCTGCCAGCCAGCCACAGTGCCAGCCCTCAGCAGGCTCTTAACTCCACATGCAGCATTGTGCAGGCATCCCAGATGATGAGTTTTTCCAGGCCGGCTGTCAGCAAGTTCAGAATGTGAAAAAACACTGATTTTGACCATTTTGCTGGGATGAGGCTCTCCTAGCTGTTCTTTCCTCACATCCTGGATTTTATATTTAATACTCCTTCTATGTACTCTGTTCAATGGCTGTGAGGAGTCACCATGTATTATACAGAGTAACCGACAACATATGTTTGGTTTGGTTTTTAAAGATTGATCAATTGATTTGAAGGGCAGAATTAGAGAGAGAGAAAGAGTGAGAAAGAGAGACAACTTTCATATTGGTTCAGCCCAAATAGCCACAATGGTCAGAGCTGAACCTGGCCTGAACCTGGGAGCCAGGTCTCCCATGTGGGTGCTGGGTTCTAAGGATGTAGGCTATCTTCCACTGTTTTCTAGGTCATTAGCAGGAAACTGGATGGGAAGTGGAGCAGCTAGGACCCTAAAAGGTATCCATATAGGATGCTGGCAAGTAGGTAGTAGCTTTACCCACTGTACCAAAGCACCAACCTCTGGGGTAGTTTTTATTTTACTTTTGCAAAGAAAGAGAGCGTGAGCTGTTTCCAGACCCCTGCAGCAGTTTGTAACAAGTACGTGTCTCCGTACTGACAAAGCTGCTAGCAGATCCCTTGGGAGCTAAATCCCCGCCGACTTCAAGTATCTGACACATGGTGCTGGCGTGGCTGGGTGGTGAAGCCTCAAGGGGTTCTGAGCCAAGGCCACCTGGCTCTGAGTCCGAGCTCTCGCACGGGCTGTGTGACATGCCTGCCTTGCCTTCCCTCTTCATGCTTCAGTAGTTCTGTCGCCTATAAGTCAGGGACAGTGGATGTGTCCGTACCATGTGCGTGATGTTGGCTATAAAGGGCATTTGAACCCATCTGTGTGACGTGGAGCACAGAGGCATGCGTGCTTAGAAGTATCTCTGATGTCACTGTGATATCATCGGTCATTTTGCAGCACCTTCCTACACTCTAACCAAAGGGCCTCAGGGCTGCCCAGCCTCACACAACATTGGCTTCCAAGCTGTGATGGAGAAGAAAAAGAGAGTGTTCTTTGTGGGCTGTAGTCGAGAGGATCCAGGGATTCTGGAAACTGCTGGGGAAGCAGGGACCCATGAGGCTCTTAGATGCACTGGGTCAGAGCCCCCACAGCAAGGAAGGGTCTGTGTGCCAGTCAGTGCCCCAGACCAGGGGCATGCCTATATACAGTGGGCTTAGCCCAGGTGTGCCAGGAGATGGTTGCAAGGAAAGTGCCTCTTGAGTCCAAACGTGTGTCCCTGTCCCTGTCATGTGCATCCATAGTAGAGTGGAGGGTCCGCAGGTGTGTCAGGGAGACACTGTTTGCTATGTAGCAGCAGTAGGAGCAGGCCTGCTTATCTAGGCCAGTGACTGTTGAAAGGAACTTGGGCAGTGGTGCACAGGGGAGAGCTTGGCCAGCAAGTGCATGTTGCCCATGACTGGCTGGTTAGAGTCCACATCCCTGAAATTGCCAGTCAGAAGAGGCGGCCCTATCTTCCCAAGGGGACAGGAAGCGGGTGGAAAGACTCCTGTCCTTGGGCCAGGGCCAGCTCTGTGCCCGGGCATGTAGTTTGGCTAGCAGAGCTCAGGCCGACTTTCAGTCCTCGGGCGCCCTCCTGGCCAGGTGCTGTGCGCAGCAGAGGGCTGGGGTGCGCCGTGCCCGCGGCCCCCACGCGTGCCTCCTCACTGTCTGTGTTTTCCTCTTTGGCGGGGCGTGGGCCGGCCCCTAGGTGTCCAGCCACATACAGGTTCTAGCTCGGAAGAAAGTGCGCGAATACCAGGTTGGCATCAAGGTACGTTGGGCACGTGCCCGGGGCGTCCAGCCCCGCCTCGGGCCCTTCCCCACAGCACCTCTGCTGTTGTCTGCAGGCTGGGCCGCTCTGGGCCCCCACTCTGCCTCCTCTGCGACTGGAGCTCTTTCCTGGCCTCTCCTGCCATTCTCTCTGCTCTCTCTCTCTCTCTTCTCTCTCTTTCTCTGCAGGTCTCTAGCCACCTGCAGGTTCTAGCCAGGCGGAAATCTCGGGAGATTCAGTCCAAGCTGAAGGTAGGGGGTGGGGAGGCTCCTGCCACTGGGTCCAGCTCCTCTCTGGCCCCAGGCCTGGGGCTGAGATGCCGTCAGGGGGACAGTGCAAGCGGCAGCAGGAACCAGGGGGCTGCCAGCCTAGTAGTAGAAGGATGTCTGAGCGTCCCCAAAAGGCCCACCTCTGCCTGTCTACGCTTTCTTTTTTCTTTTCCTCCTAAACGCTGCTTGCCAACTGCACAGGGACTTCTAGCAGGCAGGGCGAGGGGCTTCTGGGTGCTGGCCAGTGGGCTGTGAGCAGGTTGGGGGGGGCATGCTGTGACAAGCCCATGTGTCTGTGTCTGCTGTGGCAGATGAGGATGTGACGGCCCTGATCTCTCGCCATGTCCCTTGTTGGGGCATAGCGCCCGTTCCCCTACTGCCCAAGCACGGGACCGGAGAACAGAGGCGACCCCTGAGCACCCCAGTGTAGCCCACCATCCAGGGCAACGCCCCAGAGTAGGCAGCCCCTTCGGGGGGGGGCGGGGTGCTGGCCCACAGCTGCCTCTAAGCTTCCTCAGGTTCCCTAGGTGGGCGTGCCTGGAGCCGGGTGGGAGTGGTGGCAGGAGGCCGGAAGCCCTGTCCCCCGCCCCACTGATGAATCCTCCTCCCTCTCTTTTCACAGGCCATGAACCTGGTGAGTAGTACTTCCCACCCCGGAGGGAGGGCAAGGAGAGGGCCTCTGCGTCACACAGGGTTGTGAAATCAGCTTTCACAGTTTGCAAGCACCTTTTTAATTTTATTGGTTTATTTTAAAACTTTAAGATTTATTTGAAAGGCAGAGTGACAAGAGAGGGAGGGTGAGCCCTTCCGGCTGCTGGTTTACTCCCCAAGTGCCTGCAGTAAGTCAGGGCTGGACCAGGCTGGAGCCAGGGGTCAGGCACTCTAGGCCCGCCGCGAGGGTGGCAGGAAGCCAAGTCCTTTAGCCCTTGGCCTCGCCTCCCAGCAGGTTAACAAGGAGCCAGCTGGATCTGAAGGGGGAAAGCAGGGACTCAAACCAGCACTCCAACATGGAATGCCAGAGTCCCAAGGTACAGCTCAACCTGTTGAGTGTGCAGCCTGCACCTGCCCCTATATATAATATATGTAAATGAAGGGAACTCGTCAGTTCCCAGAGCTGTGTGTGCTCCAGATCCCGAGGGGCTCACAGCACAGGTGTGGGCCCCGGGCCTCGGCCTCTCTGATGCTGGCTGGGCCATTGGATCCACCCTAACCCAGAACAAAGAGTGTGGGAGATTTGTTTAGGGTTAATCCTGTGCACACTGGGTTCTGCTGTGAGTGGGGTAATGTCCAGTCTGGGACCCCCAGAACCTGGAACCCCCTGGCCTCACATCACCCTTCTTCTCCAGGACCAGGTCTCCAAGGACAAAGCCCTCCAGAGCATGGCGTCCATGTCCTCTGCCCAGATCGTCTCCGCCAGTGTCCTGCAGAACAAGTTCAGCCCCCCCTCCCCTCTGCCCCAGGCCGTCTTCTCCACTTCCTCACGGGTACAGGGGCCTGACTGTAGCCATGGTGGTGGCGGCGGCGAGGTGGGAGGTCACTGTGGTGGGGGTGTGCCTGCTGGGTTCCTGCACACTGACGGCCCTGGCTTGTCCCACCCTTGCAGTTCTGGAGCAGCCCCCCTCTCCTGGGACAGCAGCCTGGACCCTCTCAGGAGTAAGTACGGTGCTCATTCTTCCTCCCTTTTCAGCCAGGTTCTGGCATCTGCTGAGCCAGGCTGATATTCCAAGGCAGAGCGGGGGAGAGCAAGGAGAAGGGGACCCAGGAGGAGTGTGGGTGTCTCACTCGGTGCCTCAGGTAATGTTACAGGCAGGCCTGGATGCTGCGTTTTTCTTCAGTTCCAAGACGAGGCCCAGGCCCAGTGCCCTGAGGAGTGGGACGGGGTGGTATACACATGCCATTTGTATATCACCTGTGAGACACAGCAGCTTTTCCTGGAGGTGGAACTGTGCAGGCAGCTGCTGGTATGCGGTATGGGGACCATGCACCGGGGTCCCGGATGATGGAGAAGGAGTGCCCTCTGACCCTGCTCTGCCTCTGTCTGCAGCATCAAGCCCTTTGCACAGCCAGCCTACCCCATCCAGCCACCCCTGCCACCAACACTCAGCAGTAAGTGTCCCGGTCAGAGGAGAGGGGTAGTGGGCAGCTGTGTGTGTGCGCGCGTGTGTAAGAACAGGGGTGAGGGGTGGGACTGGCCTAGAACCACCTCTAACCTTGCACCGTGTGGCTTCCAGAACCCTGCACAGCCCATGCACCACTATGGGTGTAGCACATTCATAGCTCTGTGAGTCAGAAATGGCCTTGCTGTAGGAAGTGCCCTGAAACCTTAAAAGGCCTCTCTGAGTGGTGGGATTCTGGGAATCATTGTTTTCCTTTTTTGCTTCCTTCCTGAGTTCTGTATTCCTATTAATCTGTGTCACAGGTGGCTCAACAGGCCAATCTTCCCCCTCAAGCACTGGGATTCCATATAAACACCAGTTCATATCCTAGCTGCTTCACTTGCCATCCAGCTCCCTGCTTGTGGCCTGGGAAAGCAGTAGAGAATGGCCCAAAGCCTTGGCACCCTGCACCTGCGTGGGAGACCGAGAAGCAGCTCCTGCTTGGCTTCAGATCAGTTCAGCTATGGTCATTGCAGCCACTTAGGAAGTGAACCAGTGAATGGGAGATCTCTCTCCTTCTCTCTGTAAATATGCCTTGCTGATAAAAATAAATCACACACATATATATTTTTAAGGTTTTGTTTTGGTTTTGGGTTTTTTTTTTTTTTTTTTTTTTTTTACTGGAATGGCAGATATACTGAGAGAAGGAGAAACAGAAAAATCTTCCATCCACTGGTTCACTCCCCAGCTGGCCATAACAGTCAGAGCTGAGCTGATCCAAAGCCAGGAGCCAGAGCTTCTTCCAGGTCTCCCACGTGGGTGCAGGGTCCCAAGGCTTTGGGCCATCCTCGACTGCTTTCCCAGGTCATAAGCTGGGAGCTGATTGGGAAGTTGAGCAGCCGGGATACAAACTGCCATCCACATGGGATCCTGGTTGATGTCAGGTGAGGATTTAGCCACTAGACTACTGCTCTGGGCCCTAAATCATTTATATTATATGTTATATAAGTATATAAGGCAGAACAACAGAGAGAGGTCTTCCATTTGATCACTTGCCAAATTCTGGTGACAGCCAGGCCTAGGCTAAGCTGAATCAGGAACGGGGTGGGTGGCAGGAATCTAAGTACTTGAGTCATCCTCTGCTGCTTCCCAGGCACATTAACAGGAAGCCAAATCAGAAGCACAGATAACGGGCTAGAACTGGCAACTCCTGCATGGGTTGTGAATGTCTCAGCCAGCCACTTAACCTTCTGTACCACAATGTTCAACCTGGGAAAATGTCCCTGAAGATTACCATTGAGACCAGCGCTGGCAGTTATACAGGTTGTTCACTGTGCAAGCACAGCTGGAGGGGACTCAAAATTGAACCTAAGTCCCTACACAATGTGCACAAGGGCTAGGATGGAATAGGGCAGAACCAGAGCCTGCGCATGTGCACACCAGGCTCCATCTCCCTGCCAGGTTACGAGCCCCTGGCCCCACTGCCCCCGGCTGCTGCCTCTGTGCCTGTGTGGCAGGACCGTACCATCGCCTCCTCCCGGCTACGGCTCCTCGAATACTCAGCCTTCATGGAGGTGCAGCAAGACCCTGACACGGTAACGTGTTTTGTGGGGGTGGGGGTGAGGCTTTGTGCCACTGCAGCTTAGGGCCACTGGGTGGGGCTCTGGCCTGCTCTCCTGACCCCATCTGGGTCCCCCTCCCCACAGTACAGCAAACACCTGTTTGTGCACATCGGCCAGACCAACCCCGCCTTCTCAGACCCGCCCCTGGAGGCCGTGGATGTGCGACAGATTTATGACAAGTTCCCTGAGAAGAAGGGAGGCCTGAAGGAGCTCTATGAAAAAGGGCCCCCCAATGCCTTCTTCCTCGTCAAATTCTGGGTAAGCCGCCCACCACCAGCCCTTTCACCAGGCCACCTTCTCACGACAGCCCAGGCTGGGGACCTTGGGTAGGGTGTGCAGGTGCTGGGGCGGGGACCTCACAGGCCCTCCTCCCCCACAGGCGGACCTCAACAGCACCATCCAGGAGGGCCCCGGCGCCTTCTATGGGGTCAGCTCCCAGTACAGCTCTGCCGACAGCATGACCATCAGCGTCTCCACCAAGGTGTGCTCCTTCGGCAAGCAGGTGGTGGAGAAGGTGGAGGTGAGTGGGGGCCTCCAGGGTGGTGTGGCAGGGCCAGGAGGAGTGGGCAAGTTCCAGGCTTAAAGGGCAGCTCCTCTGTGGCTGTCTGCAGACCGAGTATGCCAGGTTGGAGAATGGGCGTTTCGTGTACCGCATCCACCGGTCGCCCATGTGCGAGTACATGATCAACTTCATCCACAAGCTCAAGCACCTGCCAGAGAAGTATATGATGAACAGCGTCCTGGAGAACTTCACCATCTTGCAGGTGCGGCAGGCGGGCAGCGGGCCTGGGGGCGGGTTTCCGGGAGAGACCAGACTGGAATATGGACCAGCCACTGTCCCCTAGCCCTGTTCGCCTGACTGTAACTCTTCCTGCCCGCCTTCCAGGTGGTCACAAGCCGGGACTCCCAGGAGACCCTGCTAGTCATTGCTTTTGTCTTCGAAGTCTCCACCAGCGAGCACGGGGCCCAGCACCACGTCTACAAGCTTGTTAAAGACTAGGGTTCCCTCAGGGCCCATCACAAGGATGCAGGACTGGCACCCCTGGGGGGTCCCAGGATCGAGGATTCATCCATCCACCCATGAAGCCTCAGGCTCAGGACGCAGGCGGCCTCCCCACCCAAGCCCAGCACACACACTCCCTGCCACTGTTCTGCGCTTTAAAGTGGGAGAAGAGGAGGGAGGCTCTGCCATGGGCAGCAAGCCCACTGCCACACAGCTCTGCTCAACTTGGAATGACTTCAGAGGGCTGGGGATGAAGGACTCTTCTGGGCTCCTGCAGGAGTGACTATTGGCCACCCTAGGGGTGCGCAATGGGAAGGAATGGCAAGGTGGGGTCAGGATGAGGAGGGGTCCCTCCTTCCCTGTCCCCCTCAGGGTGCTGTCCTCAGAACCTGCAGCAAGCTTGGGTCCATTAAGGCCCCCAGGGGGAGCGACAGAGCCCTGTCTTACACTACCTCCCTGTGGCAGGGTGTGGTGCCTCACCAAGGGCCTGGAGAGCACCCCTATGTGGCAGGGGGGCTCTACAGCAGCTACTCAACTTATTGGGTGCTCCCCACCCCAAGAGCCACTGTGCAAGGACAGGCCCCAGCCTGCAGTGAGGTGCAAGCAGTTGATACTCTTCTCGGCCAGACTTGGGGTTGCTGAACCCTGGAAGGTCCCTGCTCCCTCCTGGCCTTTCCCACGTTTCCCAGCCCTTGCCACCAGCCACCTCTGGATATTTATCTCATATGAAGTACTGTGCCCCACCCAACCCCCCCCAAGGCCCTCACAGTTTGCATATCGCTCAGGCCACTTCCAAGCCCCACCTAGGTTTTATAATGTATATTATATTTTTGTGTATTTTTTAAGTCAGGCTGTGATGGGTTGTCATAAATGCGACTCTAGGTTAGGGCACTGGTCCTGAAGACCCAGCTCTTGCTCCAAAAATTAAAGTTATTTCTCAGTGGGTCAGTCACATGACCAGCCATGTGCCACGTTTTTGGTTAGCTTGAGATGAGGCTCCTATCTGGTCATTCCCACTGTGCTCACTTCTTGCCCAGGGAGGGCCCCGAGCCACAGCCAAGAGCCCTGCAGACCTGGCCAATTCCCACCTTCCTGCTGCCCAGTTTGAGCTCTGGGGCCCCTCTACTACACCAGGACTGGTATAGGGCAAACTGCTGTGGCAGTCTAGGAAAGACCAAACTCTCCCTGTTAAAGGGCTGCAGCTGCCCTGTCCTTTGCCATGCTGGCCCAACCAGCAGGTTGGTAGGATTAAATGTGCTCCTCACTCACTGTGAAGGCCAAGCTTCAAGTTCTATTCATTTGGAGTCCTGGAGAACCACTCAGGTGGCATGCCCAGCACATCCCAGACTGAAATGCAAGGTGGGAGAAGTGCAAGCACTCTACCTAGGTACATCAGGTACAGTTGTAGAATATTTAGTTACCCAATCCATTGCTTAGCTTAAACCCAGGCTAAAAACTAGAGATGTTGTCAACATTTAAATAGCACAGCCAGGCACTTTTCTGGACACAGACACCAGCCATCAGTGTGAAGACCCCAGCTTCTCTGAGGTACTTTGGACCCTGCTTGCCCACCCACCCCAAGGGCCGGTCACTCGCAGGGAGGTCAGACACACACAGGTTTATTGGACAGCCTAATACAGGCGCTGAGGTTTGCCCATGGTGCTCTTTATGTACAAGGCCCGCACATTCTGCCAGTTCTTCTTGAGCAACGACACCAGGAAGTTGACAGCTAGGTGGATGTTGTACACAAGCTCATCGTCTGTCATCTTCACATGGCCAACAGCTACAGCCAGACACAGCACCTAGGGGAGGCAGAGGACCAGCTCGGACCATGGGCACCCTGCCCTCCCTCAGGGACAAGGCTATGTGGAACTCGTTTCCCTGTCAAACTGTACGTGTGCACCTTACCTTCTTCATCTGGAACTTGATGGTAGACTTGACCTCGTCGACTTTGGCCACCATGTTCTCATTGTGTGTCAGCAAGGAGGGGAACTTGCCTGCCTTGTTGAGGCCCGGGCCCAGGATCCGAGGGATCTGTTTGATCAGGGACTCCGAGGCCAGGAAGGCGTCGTACTTCTTGGCTGGTGATGAGAAGCCCCTGGGTGCTCAGGACCCATGCACAGAGGCCAACTCCCTCCAGGCCTCACTGGGACCCACCTGCTTGCCCCCCCCAACCCGGCTCTGCCTGATACTAAGCTCCCACCTCAGTGATCCTGACATCTGGCCCACACCCACGTGCAACGCAATGAACACTGCAGTCCACGTAGGAGAGAGCCTGCATGCTCACACCCCTGGCTATCTCACAACCCAGAACACCTGGCCCTAGATGTCAAACGCCACAGGTGAACCAACTCAGGAAGCACAGAGTCCTAACCCACGGCTCCCCAGCAGCTGGCCACGCAGCGTATCCCCAGGAAAACCTCACAGTGTAGGCAGAAACCCCTCCTCAAAGGCCAGTGGGGTCAGCGGGTCCCTGCCCGGGACCTCCACCACAGCACTCACCAAGCTTCTTGACGAGTTTCTTATTTTTGTTGAGCTTCTTGAGCGCCTCGATGTCCATGTGGGGGATATCCACAGCCTTGGCCTCATCGCAGTGCTGCTGGTCGCCCAGGACGCACACCGAGAACTTGGGGCGCGGGGTGGACTTGAGCCTGCGGTTGCCAGGTTTAGGGGAGACGTACGTGTCAGGTGTCCTGCTGCCCCCGGTGGAGCAGGCGGGTCAGGGAGGGTCTGGGAATCTTACCCAGAGCGTCCAGTGTCACGAACAGCCAAGCCCGGCTTCCCGGGCTAGGCCGGCGGGCTCGGCCGAGGCCTCCCCACGCCTCCCCTCATGTTTTACGACCCAGGGTGGGGGTCCGTCCAGCCAGGCCCGCCCGGGGCACGTCTGGACTCCCCTGGCGCAGCAGCAGCCCGCGCGTGCCGGGCCTCGGCTCATGGGGGGCAGGGTGGGGTGCAAGCGGTGCCAACCTGACGGTGCCAGAGAAACGCTTGTCCTTCTGGGGATCGTAGTTCTTGAGGCTGATCTGCAGCTCCACCGTCTCCAGGAACCTAGGGAAGGGAAAGACAGGCGAGGTGAGCGGAGGCCCGCGGACGCCCGGCCCTCTGCCCGCCACCTGCGGCCCCCGGCTGCCCTGCCCGCAGCCCCGCCATCCTCCGCCCCCGGGCCCCGCCGCCTGCCCGCCTTACTTGCGGCGCTTGCGCTGGTTCCCGTGCAGGACCTCCCGCACCGCCTCGTACAGGGTGTCGCGAGAAACTTTGCTGCTGTAAAGACACAAATAGGACCCGCTCAGGACCCGGGGCGCCGGCACCCCAAACCCCTCGGCTGACTCGGGCCCAGAGCGGAACCACGACAAAGGGAGGCGCGAGGACCCCGCTCGACTCCGCTCGGCCCCAGCAGCGCACCGGGAGAAAGCAGATGGACGCGGATATAAACACGCAGCTCCACGTACCTCATGGCTGCTTGGGCCGCGGTAACCGGAAGAGAAGGCCTCGTCGCCGGCGCATGCGCTCAAATAGCGCTGCGGCTCTCGCGAGAAGTGCGTGTGACGCGGCCGGCTGGCTGCCCGGGGCTGCAGTGCCGCCTGCGGCCAGCGGGGGCGCCGCCAGGCCCGAGCGACGACCCCAGGGACCTGCAGGTGTCCTAGCCGGGACCTGCCCAGGCTGGCACTAGGCAAGGGGTGCCAGGAGCGCCCCGCGCCCGCCTCAGCACCCAGATGGCCGTCCACAGCGTGCATGCTTGCACCCCGATGTCTGCACACGTGTGTCCTCCGTACCAGCTGCTTGCTCCAGCGGGGACGCCTCACCACCTGCAGGGCGGCAGAGCTGGGCACTGTTCATAGAGCCGAGCGGTCACAGCCAGCAAAGTTCCCCTACTCCCTGCAACCTGCAACAATGGCATCCCATAGGGACGCGGGTTTATGTCCTGGCTGCTCAGCTTCCTATCAGATCCCTGTTTGTGTCCTGGGAAAGCGGCAGAGGACAACCCAAGGCCATGGGACTCTGCACCTGCGTGGGAGACCCGGAAGAAGCTCCTGGCTCCTCATGGGTGCAGCTCGGGCCTTTACAGTCTTTCAAATAGATACATATTTTTCAGCTATATAAATGATAAGCATAATCTCCCCTCTCCCCTGCCCAGCAGGCCCTCTTCCTCTCACCTTCAAGTGCCCTTCAGGTCCCTCCGTGTCATGTGCCCAAACCCTCTCCAACTCCAGAATCTCCCATATTTAAGTTCCCCCATTTCCACCCCACCCCTCACTGACTGTCATAACACACTGGATGAATTGCAGACAATTCGACAACTATTGGAAAGCTCTGAGAAAGCTGCCCCTGTCGTCGAGCAGGGGCTGAGGGTGCAATAAACACTGAGTTCATGGTAGGGCAGGCATAGCTTCTAACAGGACACTGAGGAATATCCTCCTTTTTATTAAGTACCATTTGATAAATTATTCAAGTCATGTACAGCGTACAGGAGTTCAGAGAAATGACATGTGGCCTCTCCAGCCTGGGTCGGCCTCAGGCACACCTAGGCCTGTGAGGGTTTCTGCCCCCGCAGCCTGAGAAGCAGTGAGGAGTGGACAGGGGGAGCAGCCCTGCACGGAGGGTTCATCCAGCCCCTCGGTGAGCAAGCCCTGGCTCTGCTCTCTCTCACTCCCCGGGAGCCTGAAGTGGGGAGGCAGCTGGCCCCTGGGATGGCCAGGCTCAGCCTTCATTCCTAGCAGAGAGGTGCCAGCAGTCACGTCCTCCGGGAGAGGGCAAGGGTGCTCAGGGGGCCAAATGTCTCAGGGCGGCCTGCAAGGACTTCTTCAGGAAGGTGGTGTTGGATTCCAGGGCCGGGGTCAGGCGCATCCTCTGGGTCTCTGTGATCTGGGAAGAAGGAAGAGGCAGGTCAGAACTCCTGCCACACACACCCCTGTCCCCGATCTGTCCACCTGCTTGGGGGGCAGAGGAAGCCAGGGTGCCAGGGCCAGGAGAGGGGAAAGAGGAGGCAACAGGCCACCTCATCTCCTCACCTCTCAGGGAACCCACCCTGGACACGGACCAGGAGTCCTCATGGCTAAGAGCTGACACCAGTCAGCAGGTGCTCGCCGCTCACAGCACCGCCCTCCTCACACACATAGCACTCTCACATCACCTCGCCAAGCCACCCATTCTACACAGCTGTGCTGCACTGAGCTGCCTCCTGACACAGCTGGGGCTCTTTTGCATGTAGCTGTGCCTAAGTCCCTACCCCGCTGAAGGCCCTGAGATGCCCGATTGCTTTCTAAGGTCTGCAGAGGGTCCTGCCAGCATCCAGAACCCCTGTGCAACACATGCTTGTTCAGTGTTGATGTTTGTGGATGCAATGCATCATCTAGGTGTGTGACACCCACCATCCCTACTCCAAGAAAAAAGGGGCATGAATGGAGCAAGCCTGGGGTTCACTAGCCACAAAGCCACTTCCCACATCAGGGTGCCGGGGGTTCAGGTTCAGCTCCACTTCCAACTCCAGCTGCCTGCTGATGTGCACCCTGGGGGGCAGCAGCTCACGGCTCAACTACTTGGGTCCCTGCGGTCTACAGGGGAGACCCAGGATGAGTTCCAAACTCCGGGCTTTGGCCTAACCCTGCCTCTAACTGTTGTGGATGTGTGAGGGAGGGGGAGTGGGCCAGCAGGTGGAGGATCTCTGCCTGCTTCTCAAATAAATGTTGAAAGAAACGTTTAAAAGACATAAAGGGTAAAAAGCCTATAGCCCAAAACACCTGGCCTTCAAGGTCAAGTCCCAAACAAAACTGGAACCTATGACCTACAGAGCCCTTTGTAAATTGTTGCTAGCTCCAGCTGGGTGGCCCTGGGCAAGTGTTTTTTTTTTTTTTTTTTAAGATTTAATTATTTTTATTGGAAAGCCAGATTTGCAGAGAGAAGGAAAAATAGAAAGATCTTCCATCCGCTGGTTCACTCCTCAGATGGTCGCAACGGCTGGAACTGAGCCGACCTGGTCAGAAACCAGGAGCCAGGAGCTTCCTCTGGGTCTCTCATGTGGGTGCAGGGTCCCAAAGCCTTGGACCACCCTCTGCTGCTGCATGGGAAGTGCAGCAGCTGGGACCAAGAAACTGGTGCCCATATGGGATGCCAGTGCTTACAGGTTAAGGATTAGCCAGTTGAGCTACCGTGTCAGCCCCAGCAAGTACCTTTAACGTCTCTGAACCTCAACCTCCTAAGCCATGGAGTGAATAACAGTGTCTGTCCTGGGACTGACATGCAGAACAAACGAGCAAGTCGGCGTATGTGAGCCTCAACCCTGCCTGAGCCAGCAGGAGCCATGGAAGCATTAGCAGCGGGTAGTCCGACCTCTTCCCCTACCCCATCCACGCTTGCCATTTCAGACCCTGCCCCACCGACTACCCTCAGACCACTCATGTCCACAGCTCTACTCCCTGCAGTGTCCCTGCCACCATCTCTGGCTCTTGGCTGCCACTGGCCCTTTCAAGTGTCAGGAAGCCATCCCAACTCCCACCCACAAACAGGAGGACCCCTCTGTTTGCCAGGACACCCCTTGTGTACACCTCCCACTGGGCTTTTAGACATCACAGGTGTCTACTATTCATCTCTGTCCATCTTGAGTGGCCAGCACTGGGGGACAGGTCACTCAAAGGGCAGTGGCCTTGCACTATGGGCTCTGTCACTATGGTCCCGCACACAGCACGTGGCTCAGAGAGGTGAACTCAGAAGCCAGCCCAGTCCCCAGGTCTGGGTTTGAACGTGTGGTTTTCCAGGTGAAGAACTAAGGGCTTTGTGCCTGACAGAAGGATCTGTGGCCCCTCGTGGCCAGCCCAGGGCAGCCCCTGTCCCACTCACACTGGCCTGGTACTTGGTCAGCACAGTCAGCACAAGTTTGGCGTAGGCCATGGAGGCAGTGGCCACCAGCCCCCCTTTACAGAGCTTCTCCATCAAGACATCGAACTTCTCGGGGGTCAGCTCCACCTGCAACATCGGGAGGCGAGAAGGACCTGAGTTCATCCTGCCAGCACCAGGACTAGATTCTCAACATACCACTTTCAAGCTAGGCCTCAGTTTCCACATCTGTAAAGTGGAGCTCAGATAAAACTTAACCCTGCAGACTGGAGAAATGAGATAATTCACATAAAACCTGACATGCAGGTCTGGCATGATATAGCTTACTGGCTAAATCCTCTCCTTGCATGCACCAGGATCCCATATGGCACTGGTTCATGTCCTGTCTACTTTACTCCCCATCCAGCTCCCTGCTTGTGGCCTGGGAAAAGAGTTGAGGACAGCCCAAAGCCTTGGGACCCTGTACCCACATGGGAGACCTAGAAGAAGCTCCTGGCTCCTGGCTCCAGATCAGCTCAGCTCTGGTCAGTGTGGCTACTTGGGGACTGAACTAGCAGATGGAAGATCTTTCTCTCTCTCCTCTCTGTAAAATCCACAGGCAGTGAGAGGTGGCACTGGGTGGGCCTGGCAGTGAGAGGTGGCACTGGGTAGCCCTAGCAGTGAAAGGTGGCACTGGGTGGGCCCTGGCAGTTAAAAGTGGCACCTGATGGGCCCTGGAGTCAGCTCTAAGCTACCGCCCTGGCAAGTCCAGAGGGCGCCCCATCACCATTGAGGGGCTCAGACACCCAGGAGCCCCCGAGCCTCTGCGGCCCCACCTGCTCACCTGTTGCTCTAAGAGTGATTGCAGCACCAAGAATGTCTCCTCCTTCCAGGGCAGATCCAACATGTGCCTGCAGACCAAAGGCCGGGGAAGTGAAGCCTGAGCCTGGTGGGCGTCCACTGCTCTTGCCCCCGACAGAGGGGGTTTCTGGGGAGCCCACTGCTGCCCCACAGCAGCAGCAGGATAGTCACGGTCTCCTAGTGCTGGAGGCAAGTGGCCTCTGCTGCAGAGCCTGAGCGTGGCCTAGAAAGATGGCAACCCCAAGAAGCGCAGGGGCTGGCAAGGAAGGATTTGATAATGAGGTACAAAGTCCCCTAAAGATGACCAGGAGGTGAAGTTGTGTTGTGAGAAGGAGACCCAGGAGAGGAGCATGGGGGCAGAGGAGTCTTTCCTGGAGGAGCATGTCCCAGCGTCACCTTGCTGGAAACGCCAGAGTGTCACAGTGCTGACGCTGGCTTCCTGGGTGGGCTAGGGTTTGAAGACTAAGAATCCAAAGCCCAGAGCAGGTGCTGGATAAGCAGGGGCCAGTACAATTCAGAGGCTGTTCCCAGCTCATACGCCCCATGTTCTTTTCCACGTCTGTGTTCAACAGAATCATCCTGTTTCACGTAGCTGTGTCTTCACCCAATTTCAACACTAATTTAATACCAGCTTTCCGGCACTGACTAGACGCCAAGAAGTGTGCATGCATTCCACATGTTAGCGCACTGAATCTCTAAAAGGATCAAAAAAGTGAGGCTCCTTTTCATTCCTTATGAGAAAACTGAGGCACGGGGAGAGACAGTGAGCTGTGTGAGCTCACTACACAGCTGGCAAGGCTGGGATGCCAAAGTGCATCTGTCCACTACCC